TTTTAACCCTACATATACGTTTATTCTAGCACATAACATTTCTAAATTATTCTAACATATCTGTAAATAATTGGACTTGTGTTTTACTTAAATTATTTCAGGATTACAGCTATTGTGTACTCGATAAAGTATTTATCACTTTTGTATCCTTGTATCATTAACATGTTTCAAGATCAACCCCCTCCACACATAAATTGACGGGTGATACTCATAAAATATCTGTTCCATATATACGTCGACGAGTCCAACTCGGCGCACGTCCTGGTAGGTTAATCTGGTGGATTCGTGTAGTGTTTTTTTTTATTAAAACTTTTAATACTTTCAACAATACTATATAACAAATAATTTGAGAATATGAGTATGGCGTAGAAATGTCGATACGTTATTCAACTATTTATTTCCATTAGAATCTGTCTTCACTGAGTCTATTCAGAAACAATCAGAAATTTGAATAAAAGAACTATCCTGGTAGGTTGTAAACCTACAACACATAAACAATGCTGGTTCACTCAAAACAATATACACATAATATAGCAATGACCCTATATAAAAATAATTATAATTATAAAAATTCTGTAAAAATGGTACAAATTTAAAAACTGAGGTAAAATAAAACCCTTTGTAATAATATATGTAAAATCCACTAAATCACATCACAACAAAAAGCAGTTTAGACCACCATCCAACAAGCACTCCATGACCTTTTAGGGTTTAAGAGTGTTGATCAGGTTAAGGTCCAAATCACTTATTGCCGTGGGTGGAAGGGTTCTGGTACCTCTGTACCCCCTGATAGAGATTATACAGGTTCTGAGTAGATCAAAACGCAGTCTGCGTCTGACAAATGACATCACATCACAATACCGTTGGCCTTTCTTTAGGCTGATCTTTTCAGCGAGATGTTTTAGGAACTGTGAAGCCTCGGTTGCCATTCCTCCTGTAGTACTGAACACCAGTGGCGTGAAGGAAGCCTTTTCAACATTTAGGACTCTGTCATTGTACTCACGTTTTTTGTTTTTCTCGTGAGATTGGTACATCTGTGAGATGCTCTTGTCACTGTTGGACTGGGCTTGAGGGTGAAGTACCCTTACATCTGTGAATGCCCTGTCCAGCGGCGACCAAAACGATCTCGCACTGATGTCCAGTCTTGCACCATCCTGTCTATTTGTTCCATTAGATAGTTCAAGTGTGTGAGGAACGGAGAGAAGCTGGGGTTCTGTTTCAACGTCTTTGCAAACAGTGGTTAGGAGTTCAGCTATTGTGTCTCTTAGTGAATTGTGTCTAAGTGAAACGTAGCCTCCGATTTTGCAGGTTAGAGTATGGTTGATATGATTTTGTTTTCCACATACACATAGGGGACTTCTGTTAGCTGTAGACAGTGTAAGGTTATAACTTATATCTGAGTGAGAGGGCATCAAAGAATTCCTGTTTGTTAAGGACGTACCCACATGCTTTTAGAGGGAGTGTAGATAACCAAATGGATGCTCCTTTTTCACTAAGGAGTTCTAATTGCCTTTGTGTTGATGGGGATACCTCATTCATAATAGTTTCACGTTGGTGTTTGTAAAGCTCTTCCTTACGCTTCTTTACTTCATTTATGATGTCATGCTGCAGTTCTTCGTTTAGTTGGAAAGTAGTAAGCTGTTGAAAAACTGCTTCTGTGAGCTGTTTTGTAGCATTTACTGAGTTAGTGTACTCCATCTCTGCTGTTGATGTACAGTCTGGAACGCTCAGCCCGCCCATTCTTGCGGGAAGTGAAGCTATTTTTCTGATTTGATCAGGCACAAAACTTTTGCCCATAATGGCTGGTATAAAGTCTTCCTTGACACAATATTCCAAGAGTTTCAGATGGTCGGAAATCCCTGGGGTTGTACGGCAAACAAAGTTCCATCTTTTGGAGGTTCCATAGATGAAAGCGGAGTAGGCTAGCTGGGGTTCGTTTGCAGCTATTTCGACGAGTCCAAGAATGTCTGCTTCCCAACTTTCGGTCTCCTTATGTATGAACTCTTTTAGCCCTTCATCTGATCCGATATAAGACCCAAGATAACGGCGGCCTTTGGTAGTGATCTGAATGTCTGGAAAGAGTTCCTTAGCTTTGGTTGCATGCTCTGGTTTCACTATCAACCATGTCTTGCTGGGTTTAGGGTAATACCCATACATGGGACCATGATCTTTAAGGTCCTCCCACCATTTCGTGAGTTGATCAAGTTTACCCCCTGCTGCAGAGTCGTCAGCATACCAAACTTGTTTGGGATAAGTGTTGGGTTCCCTGTCTGATTCTAGTTCTGTTTCAGGTTCAGTCTGTTTAACCTGGACTTCTCTGAGCAGAGGCATTAGGCTCAGTGCATACCATCCGAGTGCACAGGTATCTCCCTGTGTTGTTCCTTCCTGAGATTGTAAGAGGTCATCACTGTTGGCAATGAATAGGTGACCTTCTTGTCTGTATGTATTTAGGATGTAAGTGAACAGCTCTGGACAGGTGTATCGAAGATTCCTAAGGGCTGTGTTGCGATTTAATGCATTGAAGGCGTTTTCAGCATCAACAAGCAGGATCGCTTCTGTGGATTCTTCTTCAAAGATCTTTCTGACTGCATGAATGGCCGCTTCCACTCCTCCTTGTAAGCCACCACACAGTTGCATGGGTGCTGTGTTCATGATAATGTCCTGTTTCAATGTGGTCATCACTGCTTTTCCGACTATTCTTCTAAGGACTTCACCAATCCCAATGGGTCTTACCCCTGGGTCTTTATCAAGGGGGATGAGGCGACCTGCTATGTATGTTTTCAGGTGGTCGGGCTGTATCTTTTGGCAACACAGCTTTCTGGCCAAAACTGCAACTGCTTCTTTTAGAAGTTCAGGCTTTTTCTTAAACTGCTTAGAGCAGAGAATATGCTGCCATGTCTCTGCATCAGTTCCTGAGGGCCCACCAGATCCGCTGAGGTCTCTTGCAACCTTTTCAATTCTGCTGGAATCAATGGAATCAAATATGACGTTGTCTATTTCTTCAATGGGTCCCTTCATTAGACTAGATTCGAGTGATGGGCTGCTTTCAGGGTGTTTCTTTATGAGTTCCTGTATGACAGTAGGGCTTGTGTCCAGGAGTTTACTTCTCTGGCTCCCATTCCATCTTAAGGCTGCAGAGACTTTTCCTAGTAACATGAGTCGTGTAAAGACTTTGTTGTGATGTCCTGGGCTGTACTTAGATTTGAGTAGGCGATCTTGTATTGATTTACATTCCCTAGCGAGCTTCTCTATTTCGCCATCTTTCCATAGTTGGAGTCTTCTTTCCAGGTGTGCTACATGGTCTTTGGCTTTAGAGGATTTGGAGGGTTTCTGGAGCAGGAGGGGAAAAATTATAAGCGTCATAGAAATTGCAACACTCTCAAGGTTAGAGCCACTGTTAAAGAGATTGATGGTATTTGCAACTTCCTCAATAAAACTCTCTCCTATCTTACCTTTCGGTACCTTAAACATGTTCTTCTTCCAAAGGACTACCCTCTTGTAGATAGAGTCTACAGCTGGCCTTATCTGTAAACCTTTTAGGACTCCCCATTTTGCATTGTTGATCGATGCAATGACTGCATCCGGAGGAGGTAATGTGGATGTAGTAAGGCGTTGTTTTTCACAGTTACCACATACAAACGCAATGTCAAACTTTTCATCTTGGAGATGTTTGTATTCTTTGGTGTTGATTTCCTCACAAATGGGATGGTGCCAAACATTACACTGTTCACAAAGGAGCCCATCTTGTTCAGCAAGAACACCTAGGTGGCATGTTGGACAGATATCTTCTTGGGTGCTGTGGTCTGATATTAGGATCTGTTGTCTGTTAGATTTCAGTCTTTCCGATGTTATGAACTCGTATATGGCTGTGTTAGGAGCTTGGATTTCTTGTGCTCTTTTGTGAATGTGGATAGGGAGAGCATGCTTTTCACTAAGGGAGGTGGGATTTTGAGATTTACGGCTTCTAGGAGGGGGTATAGGAGCAGTAAGTGTGGATTCTAACTGGGGAACTGTTTTAGATCTGGTGTTCATTTCCAACCCAAAAACGGGGACCACTACTGTTTTCCGAGTCGATTACCAGCAGGAGCTGTAGCTTACCGCCGACAGTCCCCACTGGATACGGGTCTCCTTAACAGTAGTGGATCCGAACTTGGGATCTGATGGAGTAATCTCGACACCAGAGGGTTTTACAGAATATATCCTGGCTATTTTTAGAACATATCCTAAAAGATTCAGGGTGATGATGTGTTGTCCTTCTCCTTTCAAAACTCCCCACAGAGGTCTGAAAGCAAGCTCATTCAAAATACTTTTTAGAACAGTATTTGTTCACAAAGCTTTTATATGATGCTCCAATATGGATGTGTTGACATTCAATGAAACTAATAAAATCGTATTACGTATTACGTCACACAATGATGGTTCGGTCGTGCATTTTTGCAAATGCAAAAGGACTCTGGTTAGATTTTTATTATTTTTAAGTTTCAAAAGTTCAGTCACTTAAATAAGGTTGATGAATTTATTTGTGTATATTGATCGAACTATTTAACTTGAATATGCTTTAATTTAAACCAGGACACTTCAACGAAAAGCATTTTCATTGATTGTCGACAGGACACATATTTTACCCACAATAAGGGGTCATAATTATTTCAATGTATGGTGTAGCTGTAGTTGTAGCGCGATGCGTTACTGTGCCGCGCCGCGCACTCGATGAGGCTTCTCACAGCGATATCGGCGCTAGAGTGCGCGGCTCCCCATGTATCGTCAGGACGACCGTGGGAGTCACAACGTGATACAACGCTAGATCAGCGAGATGCGCTGCTGTGCCGCGCCGACATGCGATGAATTGACATCGTCAATCAATAGCTGTAGCTGTATAGATTTATTATTATCATTATAATTCTGGAGGGTTGGGATTAGATTTTTGTTTAAAATTGTATGCATTAGTATTGGAAATCTTTATTATCAATTATACAAAGGAAAGCAATTGATATGAAAATAATTTTTGCATACCAGTCATACTGCAAATTAAATGAATATGTCTACACACACAAGGTTAAAAACATTTTGATCGATTAATTAAATTGCTGTTCAATATCTATTTTTAGTAAACATTAACTGGGGTAGTAAAACCCAGTTCCCAATCATTTTATTTTTATTCTTAATTGTGCAATAGCAAATAAATCATTTTTGCCAAAGCCCAGAAAAATAAACTATTATTATTTAATGAACTCACTTTGACATGGTAATAAATTTTATGTTAAGAATTCCTGAACTGTATTCTTTTTTTTTAACTGTATTTTTATAAACTGAAACGGATCCACAACGTATGTTGAAGGTAGTGTATCAATCTGCAAAGAATGTTCTACTATTTCATGAATTTAACCATGAGCTTTCTCTTTTTTAGTGAGAATAAAAAGCTCTCTCAGGTTCATTGCCATGTCTTCTGCTCCACATTTCTTTTGAAATTCACGTTCGATCAGTTGATAGAATTTTATGACTATGTTCTGTTTGCCATATTACATTAATCAACCTCATCCATTTTTTTGGTTTCTGGAACTTTCAATGTCTCTGAACCACCTCTTGAAGTCATGTTCTGATAAACTCTAGTAATAATTGGTGCACATTTTCTTTCCATGTCTTTAAGTTTGTTTGTAAACTGTTGCTCACTTGCATCAGAATTTACATTTATCCAACGCTGAGTCTCTTCACAAGTTTGTTTTAGAATATCAAGATCTTGTGGTGGTATCATTAAGTGAGGATTAGAGTTATCTAAGTTCATTTGAATTCCATGCACATAGTTTTCTAGTTGTGACTTTGCCTCAATTCGGGCTTTTGCTGATCTGTCATCATCTGCAAATAAAATGGCATCCTGGCACATTTTATCTATTTGTGCTTTTGTCAACCTTCCTTTGTCATTCTTTATTTGGATTGTGTGTCCACGATCAGTGCTTTTGTCATAGGCAGAAACTTCCATAATCCCATTAGCATTAACATCAAAAGTAACCTCTACCTGAGGGATTCCCCGTGGTGCTGGTAGAATGCCATGTAGGTGAAACTGTCCCAAAAGATGGTTATCTTTTGTCATCGCACGCTCTCCTTCGTACACTTGAATACAGACACTAGGTTGTCTATCCTGATAAGTTGTAAATATCTTTGTTTCATTGATTGGAATAGCAGAGTTCCTTTTGATGAGTGTTGTCATAACCCCACCAGCAGTTTCTATTCCAAGAGATAGGGGTGTTACATCAATGAGAAGCATCTCTTGGATTTCTTGACTTTTGTTCCCAGATAATATTGCACCTTGAACTGCTGCTCCATATGCAACTGCTTCGTCGGGATTAATACTTTTATTCAGCTCTCTGTTTTCAAACATTTGTGCCAGAAGTTGTTGTACTTTGGGGATTCTAGTTGAGCCACCAACTAAAACAATATCATGGATATTTTCACTTTTGTATCCTGCATCATCAAGAGCCTTCTGTACTGGGTCAAGCGTACCTTTGAACAAGTCTATACAGAGGTCCTCAAATTTTGCTCGTGAAATTGTTGTATAAAAGTCCATGCCATTTTGAAGTGAATCAAGCTCTATGGATGCTTGTGTGCTTGATGAAAGAACTCTTTTTGCCTTTTCCGCAGCAGTCCGCAAACGTCTCATAGCTCGCTTGTTATTTCCAATATCTTCACCTGCATTCCGTTGGAATTCCTGAATAAGAAAGTCAACCATTCTGTTATCAAAATCTTCACCCCCCAAGTGAGTGTTGCCAGATGTTGACTTGACCTCAAATATACCATCATCAATAGTCAAGATAGAAACGTCAAATGTGCCACCACCTAGATCAAATATGAGAACATTTCTCTCTTTACTTTTCCCACCTGTCTTCTTATCCAGTCCATAAGCAATCGCTGCTGCTGTGGGCTCATTGATAATTCTCATAACATTTAGCCCAGCTATCACTCCAGCATCTTTTGTGGCTTGACGTTGTGAGTCATTAAAGTAGGCAGGAACAGTGACTACAGCATCCTCACAGGACCCACCTAAATAAGATTCAGCTGTTTCTTTCATCCTTACTAAAACCATGGCTGAAATTTCTTCTGGATGGAATGACCTTTTTTGCCCTTTATATGTTACCTCAATACGTGGTTTGTCGCCATCTGAGGTAACTTTGAAAGGCCAATGTGCCATGTCCTCCTGAATTGCTGCATCATCAAATTTCCTCCCAATTAATCTCTTGGCATCAAACACAGTGTTCTGTGGGTCGACAGCACTTTGCTGCTTTGCTGTTTCTCCAACAAGGCGGTCTTCAGAAGAGAAAGAAACATAACTTGGAGTAGTTCGATATCCCATGTCATTTGCTATGATCTCTACCTTCCCATTTTGATACACTCCAACACAACTGTAAGTTGTTCCAAGGTCAATGCCAATTGGTGGTTGTTTGGCTGCCATCAATAACCTAAGAAATATTTTGTTGGAATAATTCCATTATCTGGAATAAACAATCAGATAAAACAATCTAGAAACTAAATTTCAAGTTCCCTATATACTGTAGGGTTGAAATTTACTTTACATAGGCCTACGTAAAGTTATCTTTACTTCATTCAAGGAAAAAATTGGCTTAATCTGATTTAAGTCAAGAAATAATTCAACAAATTATTTAGTTGGCAAAATCTAGATTTCAAAATGACAACAATGCTATGATGCGAAGGTATATATCCAAACCAGGAAACTAAGTGAGAAATTTCGTGTTAACATGTCATGCAAACTACAATATAATGACCAGATTAAAATAAATTATTTCTTACATATCTTGTACTTATCAAAGGCATAATATTTTTACAAAGAGCATCGATCATGATTAACTGTCTGATTTCAAGTGACCTATGTCAATAACTCAAGAATGGTTTGATAACATCATTTCTGCAGTTTTCTGACAAAAGTGCTTAAGTAATATTTTGGAAATTTCGGGTTTTTTGGTCTAACTTTTGTTTTTGGATCAAGAACTATCCCTGAGGACCATTGGATACATTCGCCGACCCCCCGAAACCCCCTTTTTGGAACCCCCTAAAATGCAAAAAATTGTCATTTTTCTGAGAAAAGTGCTTAAGTAACATTTTGGAAAACGGGTGCCGTTTATCTCAAAAATGGTGCTATTTTGGGAACTGAAAATGGTGGCATTGTTTTCTACGTCCAAAACTGGCCTATTGGCGGCAATTTGGTGATTGTGGGTCTTTTAGCCTGGAAATAAACAATTTATTGTACTTAAGCACTTTTCTAAGAAATTCAAACTATAATTTGTGATTTTGAGGCACTTTCCGAGAAGTTAGGATGATGAAACCTTGTCATAAGTCTCAAAAGTCGACAAAGTACCTTAGAAACATAGTGGGTGCAGTTTAAATTGGACAGCAGCTAGCCCAGAGCAATTACAGAATTGAAATCTTTAAAGTCAATTTGCACAAAATGAAACTTGTGTTACTTAAGCAATTTTGTCAGAAAACGGCAGATTTATCATTATCATTGACTGTAGGATGTGACCTCCCGAGTTGGTGAAAAAAATTTCCATTTTTTATGTTATCGGTTGGGTTTGGTCTTAAAATGAAGATCTTCTGATGCTGAGCTTGGATAACGAACTCATTTTCTTTTAATGAAACAAGATTTGAATTGTATGAAGATATTTTCCTACTCTAAATTAGCTCTAAAAAAGTTATCGTTATACAGGATGTCTGCTTGGGCTGAGGTAAGACAACTACAGGAAGAGCTCTACAATGTACAACTTGAGGCAACCAAAAACAAACTGTCTGAACGGAACTGTGTGGCAGTGATACAGCGTCTCATTAATCTAGGTTGGCTGGAAGTGGTTTACTCGTGTGATGGTAAAGAGTACATCACTCCCAAACAGCTGGAGAAAGATATCCTAGATGAGCTGTACGTGTGTGGTGGAAGAGTTGCAATGACTGACTTAGCTCAAACCCTTAATGTGGACTACTCTCACGTGGAGAAGAAAGTAAATGAGTTGTTGTCCCATGACACTAAGCTCTCTATTCACTATGGAGAGCTGATAAGCAAGCAATTCTTCGATAACCTTGCCATTGAAATTAATGAAACTCTGCAAGAAACAGGGCTACTTCCTTTGACCCAGTTGAGTAGGGAGGTCTCCCTGCCGGTGTCAACTCTTGCAAAGGAGCTGGTTCCCAGGGTAGGTGACCTTATCATCGGAACATACGACAAGAAGACCGACACTCTCTTCACAACTGCATTTGTTGATCGACAAGCTGCAAAGCTGCGGGGAGCCTGTAGTGCTGCGACTCGACCAGTACATTTGGGGAAAATAATGGAAGTTCACGGAATAACTGCATCCCTTGGTCATAGTTGTGTAAAAGATATGATAAGCTCAGGACGTCTTAAAGGACAACTACAGGGTCACAGCACTAACCCAGTCTTTATACCATCTCTGTATACCTCCGCTCAAAATCAGTGGGCTGATAGTTTCTACAAACAGAATGGATACATAACGTTTGAGATGATGCAGAACAAGGGTATTGATAATCCTCACTCTGTTATCGCTAGGTTTGTGGACTCTGTTAGTCTTTCATCAGGGTGTGTAAGTGAAGGTGCTATAGTTGGTGTTCAATCCATTGTTGAGGAGGCTGTCGCAACAGACACCTACATTGAGCTTATAGATTGGATGTTTGATTGGTGTAATGAAGCTGACGAAGAGGAGGTGTTGGGTTTAGTGCTTGCCAACTCTACAGCTGACTTGTTTAGAATACTACCCAGCAAAGCAGTGGTCTCCGTGAGCCTTCTTAATAAATTATTATCTTCGTTTGATAGTAAGATTGCTGAACAAGTCAAGTCAGATGCTGTAAATCCAAAAATCTTGGCAACTTTTAAAAAGTTCGATAATGCTGCAGCTTCTGCTGAGATAAAGACCGTAAAGAAAGCAAAAGGTGGTAAGAAAGGGAAGAAAGGACGTGCCAGAGACGATGATGATGAAGAATTTACACCTCCCAAACCAGCACTTGGCCCAACTTATCTCAGTGCTCAACAAATAGAGGATGACATCAAAGATCTGCAGTTTTTCATGGACAATGAGCCAAAGGAGGATACTACTCTTGCCGAGATAAGCGAACTACTGAAGAAAGAACTCAATGATAAATACTGTAAAGCACTCGACGAAGAAGTGAGGAAGAAAACCATGAAATCGAGCAAGTCTCAACAGAAAGCAGACGAGGACACAATCAATATTCTCTACAACACTGTTATACTCTGTGAAAAAGGTCTCAAAGTATTTGAAGATCCTACGATCAGGGCCCAGATCGAGAAGCACATACTAAAGACTCTCTGTCTAGAACTGACTAAAGCCACATTTTCCAAACTTGCTGAAGAAACGGGCTGTCCGTTTCAGGGGGATAACTTAAAACTGGACTCAATTGTTGGTTACTTGCCTAAAAATGCGAAGCAGTTTGCTACATCTATCATTACATCGGTTACTTCAGGAACTGACGTTGAAGAGTTTATACAGAGCTACACAGAGCTGACTGACCCTCAATTTACCCAACTTCTTGTCAGAAAGCTGGACAAGAAGAAGGAGCGAAACATGGTCTTCAGCAAAAAACAGGCACTTCTAGAACAACTGAAAACTGAACAGAACTCGGCTGATCTATTAAACATCTCATGTAATTTAATCTTCATCAAGCAGCACTCTACTTTACTCCATGTACCGGGCCGGTGTATTTCATCCGTCGTTAAACTGATCTCTAAAGACTTTACTGGACCCCAACTGGAGACAATAAACAGAAGTCTGAGTAGTGTTGTGACGGAGCTAAAAGGGGAGGGTGCAATGTCAGGGGAAGACAAACAGGCTTTAAGAGACTTAGTTTCTGAAATCCTCTTCGGAAAACAGGTCAATGAGGTGACTGAACTATAGATAATAGATATATATAAAGTTGCATATTTTGGAGATAAATGTTACATTCTGCATATTGATCATGGTAATGTACCCCAACTTGTAATGACTAGAGATATTGTTTATGTCTGATCAAATCGGTAGTTTTGATGGCAATATAATTTGATTTTCAGTTAAATAGTTTAGTAATTGAAATGTTCAGATTTGGTGGTGTTTACGTAAATATGTTAATTTTCTTGAAACGTCACGTACATCATTAATAATATTGACAAAACAGATTAAGAATTGTTAATTAGAGTTTCTAATTTATTGGGTAAAAAGTTTTTAAAGTATGTTAATTCTTTGAATCACTCATTTATGTTGTTGTAAAGGTTAGACCTGCTTCACAAACGACTATAACTGAAAATTATCCAAGTTTGAAAACGAACTCAAAGACCAAAGTCAGTATATTTTCAATAAAATATTGGTGATTTTGTTAGATGCATAAAAAAATACAAATTTTTCAATTTCTTTACCGAAATAAATTAATGGTAATTTCCTCATTATATCAGGAAGGTAATTGGTGAATGTCAAGTGGATATAATAGGAATCAGCAGTCAAACCACTACTACGAGATTTCGTGTCCCGCGCAACGAGAACATGTGTATGAGCGTAACATGCGAGGGAGGCGGGTAAATGGGTCCCGGCAGCCGCCCCGCTCTCTGCGCGACAACCACCACTTCAGAACATCGGAAATAATAAAGTTAAATGTGGGAGGGAGGTTGTTTACCACCAGCAGAACTACTCTCATTTGGATTAACGATACTTTCTTTACTGGTAAATGTCCTGCAATTTGCAGGATCTGTAACAAAATGTACACGCAGTACAATACGAATGATTATATATAATAACACTAGTCACTATGTAACGTTAAAGACTGTAAATAGACAATGAATGAGTTGATTCTCATCTACAATGATGATTATACTTAAACAACAGCACGAAACTTTGACAAAGGTACACGACATGTTAAGGAGGTCGGGGTGGGGCTGGGGGTCTTTTACATACACATTATCATACAATCATACATGTAGGAGATTGAGATAATACAGCAGTGTATATTTAAACACCAGTCACCTCCTTACTTTCCTCTTATCTGACTAACTCCCAGGATTGTTGAGTAACCGAATACCGAGTGTTGTTGATGAGAATGGTGCTTTCTTCATCGACAGGGATCCCGACCTCTTCTCTGTTATTCTTAACTTTCTAAGAACTAAGAATGTGAACATGGATGGTGTGAATCTGACCGCGTAAGTGTCCGATAAGTTGGCCCCTTGTCGTAAGTGTCTGACAAGATGTACTTGAGATTTTCCATGTAAAAGGTGTATTAAAACACACTAAACTATTCCAAACTATTGTGCTATTGTCAGGTTACTGCATGAAGCAGAGTACTTCGGTATAACACCACTAATACGGCGTATTGGAGTGTGCGCGTCCCTCGACCAGTGCAGCTGCGGAGATCTACTGTTCCACGCGCTGCTCCCACCACCTCCCCAACTCACTAGCAGAGATAACTCTCCTGTTGTTATGAGACGGCGCGGCCGAGAGTCAGTCCGCCTTCAGGTACTTTCCTTCTCTTGAGGCATTTAAAGCATCAAGATGTAAAATGTAAATAAATGATAACACTATTATACTATACACTATTCGCTATATTTATTCAACATTCTGCAAAAATTTAGTCATATCCAATCGAACCGGTACTCCTCGAACTATATAGCTGCTATCTGACTATATAGCTGAACTCCTAACTCTAATTCAGCTGCTATCTGACTATATAGCTGAACTCCTAACTCTAATTCAGCTGCTATCTGACTATATAGCTGAACTCCTAACTCTAATTCAGCTGCTATCTGACTATATAGCTGAACTCCTAACTCTAATACAGCTGCTATCTGAGCAATGAGATCATATCGCTACACTGGATAGTACTATACTATATAATATATATACTATATATATATTATATATATACTATATCGATGTATTACTATTGCTTATTAGGGTTTTTGTTGTCAGGGAAGCCCATCAATATCAAGGTGTAATACAGTTCTGATGTAATAGTGTCATAGCTCTTACACCACCAGTGTGACTCACTCCGCCCGACTCCCACTGCCCCGCCCACTGCTGGGGACCTTAATTTCGGGACCTAAATTATTTATTTATATTTCTTCATACTGCTCAAAAGACCATTAAATCATTCGACCAAGCCAAAGAAGTTTCAATAGTGTCACGGTTTTCTCGGAAAGTTGTGTTAAAATTTGTCGTGGTGTCAGTAAAGTGGCAACAGATATATTATTTTCATATATTTTTATAACCTTAATATGAAAAAATGGAGTGATTTTTAATTTATCTCAGAAATTGTTATTGAATGGCCATAACATTTATTTTGAATCACCCTGTATATATAAAATATTTCGCTTTATAATATAGAGTAAGATAGCCCTGCGCTGAATAATCGGTTCTCTTGCAGTCTGATAGGTTAGGAGTATATATAGACACTAAGTTTTAGTTAACAATGATCATTTTAGGCTACCTTAGTTCTTTATAACAGTCATTAATAAAAGTTATTAATAAAACTATTACCCAGGTGCAACATGTGATAGGATCACACAACTTCATAGCAGTAGCTTACCACAACGCTCTGTCGTGCTACAAGCTGGGGGAGTACAGTGAGTGGAGGTCTATTTTCACCACTAAACTGGATTATCATGTTGACCTGATGGCCTTCAATTCAAGAGTCCCTGTATCCGGTCCTAACAGCAAAGAGGTAGGAGAAATAGTATTCAGCAGAAAGTACACACATATTATGATAATTTTATAGTAGTTGTAAACTATGTACAGTGAAACGTGACCGGACCAGCTAGCTCCGGACCAGCTAGCTCCGGACCAGCCAGCTCTCGACCAGCCAGCTCCGGACCAGCCAGCTCCGGACCAGCCAGCTCCGGACCAGCCAGCTCCGGACCAGCCAGCTCCGGACCAGCCAGCTCCGGACCAGCCAGCTCCGGACCAGCCAGCTCCGGACCAGCCAGCTCCGGACCAGCCAGCTCTCGACCAGCCAGCTCCGGACCAGCCAGCTCCGGACCAGCCAGCTCCGGACCAGCCAGCTCCGGACCAGCCAGCTCCGGACCAGCCAGCTCCGGACCAGCCAGCTCCGGACCAGCCAGTTCCGGACCAGCCAGCTCCGGACCAGCCAGCTCCGGACCAGCCAGCTCCGGACCAGCCAGCTCCGGACCAGCCAGCTCCGAACCAGCCAGCTCCGGACCAGCCAGCTCTGGACCAGCAAAGTTCCGCCACAACTTTTATGGAAAAATTCGGGGGTGCCGGAATGAAATGCAACGTCTTAAAAATTGTCGCCGGACCGGATATAAGATGCATGGCTTTATTGAAGCAAAACGTGTATTTTTATGATTCTAGTTTAAGTAACTCGGACCAATGAAGTCCGGATTTAACTGACTCCAGGCGGGGGGATCAGGCCTAACTAATGACTGAAACACTGAAATTCTGAATGAAGGTACTGATACACTGAATGTAGGTACTGATAGCAGTAAGCAGTGGTTCTCATATTCACTTGTGGAACGTGTCAGACCAGAGTGAAGTAGCTAACTACGACCTGGAAGTTCATGTGGAGACTCTACTCTTTATTGCTTCAGGTTTGTCAGTTTTTTTTGTTTTAGTTAGGGAATAATGCAAAATGTCTGGGAAAAAATTTGCAACAAGCTGATTTTTACAGGAATGTGTTGTCCATAGTGTCAGGAACCACCCCAAAGAGTTTTCAATCTGGATCTGTTGAGCAAAAAAAGTTACAGCCAATTTTCTTCAGGCGCGTATGTCAGCCTGAGGACCGCACTTGAAAAACTCGTAACTATCGTAATAAAGACCCCCAGGAGCACCATAGGGGGTGCAAAACGACCGCAATAGTGACATTATGTGGGGCGAATCAATGTTTTAGGGTCGTCAGATCTTTACTTATTGAGATAATTTAATTTTTATAGGCTAACCTCTCAAAAATTTACTAAAATTTTGAAATTTTACTTAAATTTGGAAATTTAGCAAAATTGTTGTACAATTAAAACATTGTCTAGTTATCAGTATTCAAATTCTAAAATTTACTTTCAATTTTCAATTGATCCTTATATTAGTATAGTAAATAATATACATATCACATCAAATTCTGTAAAAAAAGGTCCTGAATTATTAGCATGGTGTCTTTGATTGGCAACTATTAGGTCACTTCTGGCTATCCCATTTCCTCAGAGTTGTTTGATTCTCCTGAATCGTCCTGTCTTTCGGGTGCATTAGTGCAACTTAATCCATGACATTGGCCACATGCAGGTAGACATTTAAAGCCATACTTCCGGCAGGAACACCTTAAGTACTTACAAGGGTTCTCAACCTCCACCGAGCAATTGCAGCAAATGAGGTTGAGCATCCCTGCCGGGGCAATCGCAGCTTTAGTCGGGATTGGCCGGTAGTATCCTTCAGAACTCATCTCCCATCCATAATGTAGTGGATTTAGACTTGCAGTGTCGAGTGTCACCCAGTTATGGTACTGAAGATATGATATTAATATATGCTCAGTTGCAGAGGATTTACACGGTGGTAGCCTTGATGGGTTGAGTTTTTTCTTTGCTATCATTCTACTGTAGCTGAGAAATCTGAGAGTTTCAAGTGCCTTGGTTTTATCTCCATAGATATGTTGAAACAAGGAGAGGCCAGCTTCAATTACTTCATTTGTTGAAACTCTCACAGAGAGTAATGATGCTAAATGACCCTCCTCATGAAAAGAAACTGAAGTTCGAGATGTTATCGTCGAACAGCCGCACAGCTGCTCTTTGTACAACTTATCATGGTTTCATTTGCTTAATTAAAGATTTTATAAGAGCAGAACGGTTACATGACTTCGATCTACATCTTGCAATTGTGGCTAAGATGTTGCCTATCTTTGCAGCAGCAGGTCGAGGTCAGTACTCCAAAGCTCTACGGCTGTATCTTGAGCAGATTACCGTACTTATGAGATTCAGTATGGGGCACTAGTCAAAACGTTCAAGGTCGTAGGTCTGCACACAGTTCGATATAATGAACACGAGTGGTCTGGTGTGTGGACAAACCTGTCGATCGAACAGCGACTAATGAAGGCTGCAAAGTCATCAGGGGGTTTGTCTGGAGGGAGAATGCGAACTCATGAATCTGCCCATAAGTTATGGACTGCAACCCTCAATCAAATGGCGTTGATAAACGAGAGTGTCGATGAAGCTATTGCAGACTTATCCAATAAAAGAACAACAACAAAAGCCTCTAGTGCTAATCACTCAGATCTTAGCAAATCTTCTGTACAGAAAAATATTGCAGTGTTTACCAAGCTGTTGTGTTGGTTTAAAGATACAGCTGATTTCGACGAATCTGAAGACAAGACTAAAATGGTATCGTACTCAACGGGTCTCATATCACAGAAAGAGAAGGATAATGTCAACCCAGAAGATTGCATTTCAGTTGGTACTGCCCTCCAGAAAGAGCTGGATGGCAAAAGCTTTATCGATAAGTTTCGAGTTAAAGGCAAAGTCGGAAACTTGACCCTTCTAAAGAGGACAGTGAGGGTGAACGAAAAAGACATTGTTATAGACTCATTGACAATTTTTAATCGGCTTGTCTTCGCATCTGAACGAGAGTCTACACTGGAGGAAAGCTTGCAATATGAGCTCACAGCAATGCCGATGAGTCTTTTTAACAATGAGCAGATGATGAGAAAGGCAAACAAGGCAGCCCTTGGGCAATACCTCAAGAATTTTGTTGATTGTACTGTGACATTTAGCAACCCATCCTCCCCATTAATAATTGATGGTCGATGGCTACTCTATCAAGTTACCTAGTTCACAGGCTTTGAACCATACGGCGACATAGCTAATGAATACTTTAAGCTAGTTCCGAAATCCGAACAGCGGAAAGTGATTGTTGTGTTTGATTGCTATGCCCGATCAACAAAAGATCATGAGCATCAGCGAAAAATCAAGGCATACTGCTCTGATATAGCTATTAAAAGTACTACTGTGTGCACAGTTCCGATGAAAAAACTGTTCAGCAACTCAAAGAACAAGCATGAGCTTATAAAGCTTCTGTCGAACGTTTTTACAGAACATGAAATTGAAGTACATGTAGCTACTGATGATGCTGATACCATGGTAGCTAGTAAAGCTTTAAACTTGTCCTTCTACGAAGATGTTGAGGTAAAAGCAGAGGATACTGATATACTTTGCCTCCTTATTCATCATTTTGCTTAGAATCACAATGAAATTGTGATGACGACCAGAAACGGCTCACACTCGATCAGTAAAATAGTAAATGCTCTTGATGCCAACATAAAACGCATATTACTGTTTGTTCACAGTTTCTCAGGATGTGACACGGTCAGCAGTATATGTATGGCTTTGGTAAGGTGAAGATATTGAAAAATGCAGTTTCTTTTCATGAGGAGGGTCATTTAGCATCATTAATCTCTGTGAGAGTTTCAACAAATGAAGTAATTGAAGCTGGCCTCTCCTTGTTTCAACATATCTATGGAGATAAAACCAAGGAACTTGAAACTCTCAGATTTCTCAGCTACAGTAGAATGATAGCAAAGAAAAAACTCAACCCATCAAGGCTACCACCGTCTAAATCCTCTGCAACTGAGCATATATTAATATCATATCTTCAGTACCATAACTGGGTGACACTCGACACTGCAAGTCTAAATCCACTACATTATGGATGGGAGATGAGTTCTGAAGGATACTACCGGCCAATCCCGACTAAAGCTGCGATTGCCCCGGCAGGGATGCTCAACCTCATTTGCTGCAATTGCTCGGTGGAGGTTGAGAACCCTTGTAAGTACTTAAGGTGTTCCTGCCGGAAGTATGGCTTTAAATGTCTACCTGCATGTGGCCAATGTCATGGATTAAGTTGCACTAATGCACCCGAAAGACAGGACGATTCAGGAGAATCAAACAACTCTGAGGAAATAGGATAGCCAGAAGTGACCTAATAGTTGCCAATCAAAGACACCATGCTAATAATTCAGGACCTTTTTTTACAGAATTTGATGTGATATGTATATTATTTACTATACTAAAATAAGGATCAATTGAAAATTGAAAGTAAATTTTAGAATTTGAATACTGATAACTAGACAATGTTTTAATTGTACAACAATTTTACTAAATTTCCAAATTTAAGTAAAATTTCAAAATTTTAGTAAATTTTTGAGAGGTTAGCCTATAAAAATGGAATTATCTCAATAAGTAAAGATCTGACGACCCTAAAACACTGATTCGCCCCACATAATGTCACTATTGCGGTCATTTTGCACCCCCTATGGTGCTCCTGGGGGTCTTTATTACGATAGTTACGATTTTTTCAAGTGCGGTCCTCAGGCTGACATACGCGCCTGAAGAAAATTGGCTGTAACTTTTTTTGCTCAACAGATCCAGATTGAAAACTCACCTAAATAGCACTCGCCCTCAGTGTGTACCTGACCCCTAAGCAGTGTGTAGGGCAGCAGTGCGGGGAGTGGATTGAGATAGCGTACGGAACCAACAGAGGAATGGTTAGGATCATATTTATTACGATAGTTACGATTTTTTCAAGTGCGGTCCTCAGGCTGACATACGCGCCTGAAGAAAATTGGCTGTAACTTTTTTTGCTCAACAGATCCAGATTGAAAACTCTTTGGGGTGGTTCCTGACACTATGGACAACACATTCCTGTAAAAATCAGCTTGTTGCAAATTTTTTCCCAGATGGTCGTGTATTAATGTTAATTGTCCCTAACTATTTGTCTTTTACAATATTTTGCTCACTTGCTATCCACACTATGTTCTGAATTAACTTCTAAAAACAACAGGTCTAGTAGCTCTGAGTTCCAGTGGTCTGATTGGAGTCTGGAACACCATGACCCAGACCTGGAAGGTGCAGCAAGTACAACCCGTCTCCAGTTTCGATGTTGCTGGTACGTCAAATAACACAGTATTACAATACTTTTCAGAAATGAGTGCGATTTTGGGGGAAGCCAAGGGGTATTTTTGGGAATGCCTGAATGGGTTTTGGGAATCCCCCATAATAAAGTCCCTATAATATTCCAAAGTACCCAAAAATACCCCTAATTTTGCAATCGCACTCCCTGTCCGGTCACAAGTTTTGTTTAGCCTGGAGGAGGAAAAACCGACAAAAAATCCAGTGCGATTATTAAAAATGTAAGTGGTCGACAAATAGGCCAAAAGTTAAGTTATAACCTTAAAGTGTAATTTAATAGATACACTATAATATTATACTATAAAACATTTTTAACTGTAATGCTGCAGGTTGTATGCTGTTTATTGGCTGTGGGGACGGGTGTATTTACTGCGTGGACATGGCTAAGTTCCCTCTCCGAATGAAAGATAACGATTTGTTGGTCAGTAAGCTATACTGTGATCCGGAGAGGAACAAGGGAATCTCTATCACTGCTATCAGGTACATACTACATACTACATACTACATACCACATACCACATACTACATACTACATACTACATACTACATACTACGTACTACATACTTCCCCTCCCCCACTAGAGGGGTACATGCTACCCCTCCCCCACTAGAGGGGTACATGCTACCCCTCCCCTACTAGATACATAGTACATACTACCCCTCCCCCACTAGAGGGGTTCATACTACCCCTCCCCCACTAGGTACATACTACCGCTCTCCCACTAGATTGCTTTCAGGTACATACTACCCCCCCCCCCCACTAAATTACTACTAGAACACCCCCCCCCCCCCACTAGATTGCCTACTAGAACCCCCCCCCCCCCACTAGATTGATACTAGGACACCCTCCCCCCCACTAGGTTGCTACTAGAACACCCCCTCCCCCCCCCCCCCCCACTAGATTGCTATGCTACTAGAACACCCCCCCACTCTCTTCTCTTGTCACTTAATCCCTCTCCTCCTCTCAGCTATATTTGTCACCTAAATAGCACTCGCCCTCAGTGTGTACCTGACCCCTAAGCAGTGTGTAGGGCAGCAGTGCGGGGAGTGGATTGAGATAGCGTACGGAACCAACAGAGGAATGGTTAGGATCATATTTCAGCACCCTGAGACTGTCGGACAAGGTAACCATCTCACAGTTTTCACTAAAAACTTCAGTTTTAATAATAAAGTAATAAGTTATCTATCTACAGTATCTGTAAAAAGTTTCTCATATTAATGTAATGGATTTCACAAATATGTAGTGCATCCCCTCTTCCTACAGCCCTGCTGCTCCCCCTGCCCCCCCCCCCCCCCTCTTCCTACACCCCTGCTCCCCTGCCCCCTCTTCCTACACCCCTGCCCTGCCCCCCCCTCTTCCTACACCCCTGCTGCTCCCCCTGCCCCCCCTCTTCCTACACCCCTCTTCCTACTTCCCTGCTGCTCCCCCTGCCCCCCTCTTCCTACACCCCTGCTGCTTCCCCTGCCCCCCCCCTCTTCCTACACCCCTGCTGCTCCCCCTGCCCCCCCCTCTTCCTACTCCCCTGCCCCTGAGAAATTATAGTTTAAAACGTTTTTGGTCACGTGACATGGTAGGGGCAACATTTAGGTGCGGAATCGCACTTTTTACCAGTTACAGAACTTTGTTTGCACCATTCGGCGATATCCGCACTTTCGGTTGTTTTACGGAATTTACGATTCTGTATTATAGTTTTTATAAATTTAGAAAGTTGGTATATTTTTGCCCTGGGTAGTAACTAGTAAGTACTAAAGACATAAGATCGATAATCGATATTATGATATAATTGATAATTGATATTTAATACAAAACAAGAGAAGGAGAAACGTGGCTGCAAACGAACAACAACTCATCAATGTTGATCGCAATCTGGCGCAATCCCCAACAGATTCAAATTGTGTCACTTTAGTCAGATATCTATAGATACGCCAGTTATACATTAATGTATCAGAAATTGTATGAGTGTAAGTTGGGGATATTAGAGTTATGGTTAGAGTTAAATTATGGTTAGAGTTGGGGTTAGAGTTATGGTTAGAGTTGGGGTTAGAGTTATGGTTAGAGTTGGGGTTAGAGTTGGGGTTAGAGTTATGGTTAGAGTTGGGGTTAGAGTTATGGTTAGAGTTGGGGTTAGAGTTATGGTTAGAGTTGGGGTTAGAGTTATGGTTAGAGTTATGGTTAGAGTTGGGGTTATGGTTAGAGTTATGGTTAGAGTTGGTGTTAGAGTTTGGGTTGGAGTTATGGTTAGAGTTGGGGTTAGAGTTATGGTTAGAGTTGGGGTTAGAGTTATGGTTAGAGTTATGGTTAAAGTTGGGGTTAGAGTTATGGTTAGAGTTGGGGTTAGAGTTGGGGTTAGAGTTATGGTTAGAGTTGGGGTTAGAGTTATGGTTAGAGTTGGGGTTAGAGTTATGGTTTTTTTATCTCACACTTATTTTACTTCGGAGTATTCCAACAGCCACATTGTTACACAAGTGTAACTAGCCAATTACAGGAAGCCGAAGGATTTAATTAGGCCAGTGACGGTTAAGGTAGTGTGTACCATACTTTCTTCGCCCGAGACTTCGCTGCAATGGACAGCTTCTCATTTAACCCTCACACACGATTTCTCGAATATTCGGCTGAGTAGACCGGGGGGCTGCATAGACCACTCAGGATCTTTAGCTGAATGTCGACGACACTCACCCCACGACTAGGCAGGCAGTGGGTTTCGAACTCGCAATCTCACGATTACAAATCCGATGATTAACCAACTACGCTACCTGGCCGTTAGAGTTGGGGTTAGAGCTATGGTTAGAGTTATGGTTGGAGTTGGGGTTATGGTTAGAGTTATAGTTAGAGTTATGGTTAGAGTTGGGGTTAGAGTTATGGTTAGAGTTGGGGTTAGAGTTGGGGTTAGAGTTATGGTTAGAGTTGGGGTTAGAGTTGGGGTTAGAGTTGGGGTTAGAGTTATGGTTAGAGTTATGGTTAGAGTTGGGGTTATGGTTAGAGTTATGGTTAGAGTTATGGTTAGAGTTGGTGTTAGAGTTGGGGTTGGAGTTATGGTTAGAGTTGGGGTTAGAGTTATGGTTAGAGTTGGGGTTAGAGTTATGGATAAAGTTGGGGTTAGAGTTATGGTTAGAGTTATGGTTAGAGTTGGGGTTAGAGTTATGGTTAGAGTTGGGGTTAGAGTTTAGGTAGGACCGTTTTTCGGCTACAAAACCGTGAAAACTCAAGTCTATTTCAGTAGACCCTCACCCACAAAGAGAATATGTGGTTCTAATTAATGCAGTTATACACATTCCTACAGGACCTCAAGTACTCCAGACGTTTAACGTACACAGAGAGGCAGTAACCAGGGTGATGCTGAGTGAGAACCATCTTATCAGCGTGTGTAGTGAGAGTAACCATGTTAGGAGCTGGACTGTCACCAGGTACAGTGTATTCAGCGAGTCAATGGATTATTTCAATCGGGCACTCAGCGAGTGAGAAACAAGCCCAAACGTATGTGTACTGACCCCCCACGTCTATTGTTTAAGAGTAGTAACTCCCTCCCTTCTCTGCAGGTTCCGGGGGCGGATTCTCACCCAGCCCAGTTCCACGCCCCTCGCCTCATTTAACGTGATCGAGCTTGACGAGCCCTACTCTCCTATGTCAAGTAATGGGGTCGGGCCTTACGGGGACAAGGACGACTGGGCTGTCTTCATGCAAAAAGTATAGTTTCCTTTTTTACTTCAAAATAATTTCTAGTGTTCATTACAATCCCTTGCTGAATGTATACACGTCGTAAATTCATGATAATCAATAAAATTTAGTTATTTTACTAATTAGCTAATTAGCTACTAATGACCCTGTCTAACTAGGTGGTACAGACGAGTAATGAGATGTTCATCTGTGTAGCGAGTACAGGGAAGAGACTGTGTTCCCTAAGGAGTGTGGACGGTACGAACATTACATCTCACTCTCTACACGAGTGTGACAGCTCTACTAGAACCAGGATGAGGCGATACATTCTTACAGGTCGGTTAATTAGTTAATTAGTTAATTAGTTAATTAGTTAATTAGTTGGTTAGTAAGTTAGTTAATTAGAGTCATCTCCTATCAATAAACTCAACTAAGTCAAGGAAAATCACAAACTATTCCAGTGCTATTTGTCATTGCTAATCGGGTGACAATGTGACCTCAGGTCACGATGATGGTTCGATACAGATGTGGGATCTAACAACTGCGTTTGACAGAGCACCTAAAGACCTGTACAGTACTGATAGCTCCACTGGTCAAACAGGCGTTACTCAGGTAACATGAAAACAATTGCTAGGTAAACGGGTTGCTAGGTAACAAGGTTGCTAGGTAACAAGGTTGCTAGTTAACAGGGTTGCTAGGTAACAAGGTTGATGGGTAACAAGGTTGCTAGGTAACAAGGTTGCTAGGTAACAAGGTTGCTGGGTAACAAGGTTGCTAGCCGCTAGATAACAAAGTAACAGGGTTAATTGATTGATAATTAACTGTATTATGTGTCAGGTTGAGTTACTACGACTGATGAACCACTGTGACCTACAGGCCTGTCTCTCTACCTCCTCCTCCACCTCTCCCTTCAGTTCCTCTCTCAGTATTACTGACCACAGTGATGACGATAATACGTTAGTTTAAATCATGTACAATTTGTACAAATTAGTTTGGATTAGCTCTGATCTCAGTTTAACCTTTCATTTTGCTTAAAGAGGGGCTCATCTTGACATTAAATTTGTCTTCAATTTCTCCCACAATTAAAAATTCCCAAAGTATTACCCCCACATCTGTATTCTAGAATTTGTATGAATTTAATTATAATTAAATTCGTCAAAACAAAAAGTGTACAGTGTACAGTGCAAGTGTACAGTGCAAGTGTACAATGTACAGTGTACAGTGCACAGTGTATACTGTACACAAGCTTTATTATAGCCATGAAGCTGGATCTAGTGCAAGTGTTATTGTGTAATAAATGTTACGTGTGTATAGATTACTGACAATTAGTGACAATTAGTGACAATTAGTCAATTAGTGGCAAATCAAAGGATGACCCAGGTTATAAACTGATAGACTCGCTGTCAATATCCCGCTATTTCATAGATACATTCTATTTCATAGATACATTCTATTTCATAGATACATTCGTGTGTTTTGAAACTTACACCACTTCTAACGTCACTTTATTATTTTCAAAACAAGTTGATTGGCATTCCGTTGTCATGGGAAAACTGTTCACTGGTGTGCGCTAATTGATCATGTGACTTCTGTAGACTCGTGTAGTTTTACTGTGGTCACGTGTCTGTGTGCGTGTCACGTGACAAACACTGCACTATAAATGTTAGTATGTACGACGTGTAAATTATACTCAATTAACAAGTTTATAAATGTTAGTACCTACCTGTTTACGCTAAAGTGAGCTTTTAAAACTTACAAATCAACAGTTATATAGGCTAGACAGTTAATCTTTAATTAATCTTTATATATATTATATAATAAATACACATATACATGTCTGTATTTCATGTAAAATCCGGATTGGAGTATTATTTATGAGTCGCATTGTTGTAATGTATTCTGTGTAAAATTATTGTTATCCCGGTTGTTCGTACAGAAATACAGACATAATAATGACCACAATAAAACCGTTCAAAACCGATCAAATAAAAACCGATCAAATAAAACCGATCAAACAAAAACCGATCAAATAAAATCCGATCAAATAAAAACCGATCAAAACGTCGCTTGTAAATCTTTGCACGTGCGAGTATCAACCCTCGTCACTATGGTTACTATGTAACTTCTTATTTCTCATCAAATTTGCACGTGGGCGGTCGCACAGACATACATATAGACATACAAAAAGAATCTATTATTGGATTGTGGCAGTAACAATTTAACATTGTTATACTTCAGAATGCAAGGTCCTCTACACCATGATTATGAGATGATAAGAAAAGGAAGAAACTCTCTGCCAGTAGACGTGGGGTTATCATTTCCTAGTAAGTAATAACCTAGCCCCGAGGTGTATAAGTATAAACGAGCACTGTTATTGTTCAAATACATTTCTCATTTAACATTTATTGCCTTATTACTGATATTAGATATATTGTTAGTCCCTGATATTCACATATTTACAAATACAGGTCCAAGTCGCGTGCAGAGATCACCTAGCACGCACATTTCGCCTAGCGCGCACACGTCGCCTAGTGCACCAAACTCGCCTAGTACCACACCAGTGAATAGTGACGACGAAAGTGCACGCCCCTTCCAGCGCAACTTCATCAGAAAAGCAAACACACTGCCGCGCAGACGACCAGAGTAGTCTGTAATAACACACTGTTTAACGAATCTTGATTCCATATAAATATATTGAAGAAAGGTGTTACTTAAGTGTTTATAGGTGTTACTAAGAGTAATTTAACACAGGTGTTACTAAGAGTAATTTAAAATTATAAATAAGTAGTTAGATTGTTACAGTAGTGATGACTGTTAGATATTTTTGGGTTTGGAAGTGTGAACTGTGGCATTTTGACATACATTTTATTATAACAATTATAATATGAATCATATTTGCTAACGGATTTTAAATAGATGCATTGCAAATTAAAGTTAGATATTGCCGATAAAATATATTACGATAATAATTCCTAAATTCATTATTAATTATACATAATATTATGCTAGCTGTTTGCAGTGGTACGATGATGAGTTGCTGGATAGAGTTGCTGGAGACGAACAAGTAGAGAAGCAGTTTTTCCTACTTGTTCGTATCCAGCAGCTCTATCTGGCCTTAACTTCTGGTTCTAAGGACCCCTCCCCCCCCCCGGCCCCCTTAACGCCTGGTTCTAAGGACCCCCCCCGCCCCCTTTAACTCCTGGTTTTAAGGACCCCCCCCCCCCCCCCCCCCCCCATAATCCATGGTACATAATATGAACAGTTCTGGTAGAAGAATATACTTAGAGACCATCAGATTTTATACTGAGATAGAATATAATAATTCACTGAGGGTGATATTTAATGCTTTACCGTTGACAAGGTAACAGTTGTTATGGTAACAATGTTTCTTTACTCTCCTTCTTTTTCACTGGGTTTTGTAACATTTGTATATATTTCGCTAATATTGTGAATTGTGATATTCGTCTATGGTATAATCGCTTCTTTCGAAAAGATAACAGTGGTATAATCGATAAAAACAGTCTGATATTATGGGGCCTTTGTGTAAACACCTGGCATTTTGCTGATTTGGTGTGGTTTTGACAGTCCACATTATTGTGTGTACATTTTGTATTCTGCTGGATCTTTAATTTGTATAAAAGTAATATTTATCACCATTTATAAAAACAACTCAGTCTTAATCTGTACATCATTAATCTCATGCATTAAATCTGGAGAAATATAATATTATTGTTATAATATTAGGACAATATAATGTAGCAAATCTCGTCGTTCAAATATTAAGAACAGCACTTCAAGTACATTTCCATAGATCTGCTATGACGCTAACCATGACAGCGTTACCATGACAACATGACAGTGTTACCGGGTTACAGCGTTAGTTGATGTCTACAAAGTCACGTGGTTACATAGCTGATCACGTGACCTCTAAACCACGTGACTTAGCGCGCCCACGTGGGCAGATTAGTCACGTGAGAAAGAGAAGGAGGTCTGAGCAGGACTCGGCGGAGTGGAGGAAGGAGAAAGCTGCTCACATCAGCGCTCTCTTGAAAAGAGGTGACACTTTTATCTGGATATAAAACAGCAGCTTTTATTGTAACATTAAGGCAGCGTTATTGTTTTTTCCAGTTAACAGTCCATAGATATTTAATTGCGTGAGGATGGCAATGGTCCATAAGTAACTACACATCCCCGCTATTTGTCAGGTCAGGATATCTCGCGAGAAGAAATAAGATCTCTAGCCATGACAGAGGGTGGTCTCCTTAGCAACGAGTACAGAAAAGTGTTGTGGCTACAATACTTGGGGGTAGATGAGAAGACATGTGTAACAGAGTGTGACATTACCGAGTTCAGAGATTACACGCAAGTGTGTCTGGATGTGCACAGGTGCAACTCCAGGATAAAGACCGGTACACTATCCCAACAAATACTTGCCATTAAGAACAGACTCAGGAATGTGATTATCAAATCCTTGGCTGAGGCTCCTAATCAACATTATTACCAGGTGCAGTAATACTGCAGAGGGGGGAAACTGCGGTCAATTTTGATTGTTTACAATACTTGTTTAGCACCAGGTAATCATGCTTGAAATTAACCTGACATTGCAGGACATGTATACACTATACAATATACATTGCAGGACATGTATACACTATACATTGCAGGACATGTATACACTATATTACATTGCAGGGCTATCACGACGTGAGTCTGACGATGTTGTATGTGCTGGGTGAGCGACGCGCAGCAGCTCTAATGTCGTGCTTGTGTCGCGCGCACCTCGCCTCCCACATCAGGGAGAACCTTGACGAGACCTCTCAGCAGATGAAGCTTATTGTTCCACTTGTTAGCCAGGTATATTAGAGCTGCATTATACCCAGTCCATTATAACGTATAGTCTAGCTATATAATATCCTGTACTATATCAATGTTTATTTATTTCATCTCCTTTTACAGAAAAGTGTGGAGTTAGCAGACTTTATCCTGCAGTCTGAACTCCTTGTTCTAAGGACAACCCCCCCCCCCCCCCCCCCCGGCCCCCTTAACTCCTGGTTCTAAGGACAACCCCCCCCCCCCCCCCCCCGGCCCCCTTAACTCCTGGTTCTAAGGACCCCCCCCCCCCCCCCCCCCCCGCGCCGGCCCCCTGAACTCCTGGTTCTAAGGACCTCGACCCCCCCCCCCGGCCCCCTTAACTCCTGTTTCTAAGGACCCCCCCCCCCCCCCGGCCCCCCTATCAAGATTGCTGAGAAAGTGCAGTGAGACTGGATTTTGGGCATTTGAAAGTACGATTGTCACGTGTCACGGGGGGGGGGGGGGGGGGATTTTTGGCCTCGTTCAGCATACCCTGTCAAACTGCAGTATAACTGCACGAAATTCGCCGCTTGTATTGTAGTCCAAATACCAGTACTAGAATTCATTCCTTAAAAAGTTAAAACACGTGTTTCAAAAATTGTTCCAGATCCTTCCTCCTTGCGCCCTTTCTCATTCTGAGATTATCTCTATCGCCAAATTTTTCATTGCGAAAATAAGTACCAATAAAACGGTATTGGACTGGTTTCGAACCACCATCAGCTGTCGGCACCAATAGGCCTACTCATCGCGCCACGGAATATATAGGTGCTATAATATTTGTGTATATATATTCGCGCGTTCATGCTAATTGCTTGATTCGAAAAACTACTCCAAGATTCCCGAGAATTTCCAGAATATTTTTCATTGAAAAGTAACCTTCTGCAAAAGGCCAATGACCAAGTAAATAGTTGATAATAGTTAGTAGCCAATAGCTCTTTGTTTATTGTTTACAGTATGCACTGACGGGGTATACGTATCCTAGGAAGTTTCTTGATTTTTAACAGGTACCCCTTCTCATTTAACCGTAAATTAAGTTTCCTATCATTCGGCTGAGTAAACCAGGGAGATCGCATAGATTCAATGGATCCTTAGCTACTCCATAAACTAGGTGACACTGTGATTCGAACCCTGAACCTTCTGCGCAGAGGGTGGGTGCTCTAACCACTAGGCCACCAATAATGCTGAAAAAAGCATACCTTAGACTCGCACTTAAACTCGCGTCATCACGAGTTTAAGTGCGAGATTTATGGGAAACTCACCAAAATCTCGCCGAATCTCCCGCGCGTTACGTCGAAGTTTTCACGCTATAAACAAGTGATAAAATACACGTTAAGTGTATAAAATACACGTTAAGTTCCTAATTATTGTGTCCCTCAACTTTTAAGTTAAACTTTTTCTGTTTTCTCATTTATTTACAAATTTTGTGCGATGAGTCTAGCTCGCAATCTCGCATGAATCTTGACCTGGGCCCCGGCCCCCTTAACTCCTGGTTCTAAGGACCGCCCCCCCCCCCCCCCCCACCCCCCCCCCCCCCCCCCCCCCCCCCTTCGCGCCGGCCCCCTTAACTCCTGGTTTTTACAGAAAAGTGTGGAGTTAGCAGACTTTATCCTGCAGTCTGAAGCTGGAACTATGTTTAGTTTATCCTGGATCATAACTTGGTTTGCTTATGTGGTAAATTCGGAGGACACTATTTACAGGTATGTTAAATAGTTATTAGTGATATTAATATAATATATTAGTGAATTGTGATAACGAATTGTACCGTACAATTCACATGCTAACTGCACCATGTTCAGGTTGTACGACGTATTTATAACATCCCCACCCCTCATGCCGGTCTACTTGTCTGCTGCTATAGTACTTTATAGAAAACATCGGATTTTGGAAGTAGAATGTGAGCTAAGTTCGGTGCACCAGGTCCTACACAACCTGCCTCAACATCTTCCATTCGACCTTCTGGTAACAACTTCTTCTTATACACATTTAATTAGTATTCTGTTTATATTATATAATTAATTATATATAATTATACTATTAGAAAAGTGTGTCCTCTGCTCCTCTGTATCACGGACATTTACAATCGAGGTTAATTAAAAGATTGTTAGTTTAGATCTTGTATTGCAGATAACTTGTATATATGTAACATGTTACATTGCAGATAAAGAACGCCGTGGAATTGTTGGACGAATTCCCTCCAGAAATAATAAAGACACTGCCGATAAAACAACACCAAATAATGCTCCAGGTACCATATAATATAGACACAGTGTATAGTATAGACACAGTGCATAGTATAGACACAGTGTATAGTATATACACAGTGTATAGTATATACACAGTGTATAGTATAGACACAGTGTATAATATAGACACAGTGTATAGTATATACACAGTGTATAGTATAGACACAGTGTATAGTATAGACACAGTGTATAGTATAGACACCGTGTATAGTATAGACACAGTGTATAGTATAGACACAGTGTATAGTATAGACACAGTGTATAGTTTAGACACAGTGTATATACACAGTGTATAGTTTAGACAAAGTGAATAGTTTGGTTATCTTGTTGTAACACTGCAACCTACAGGTACCCAGGTTTGGTTATCTGGACTGGAGCAGGAACTGGGGAGGGAAGCTGTTGGAGTACGCTAACACTCCCGCCGGGATTGCCATTTCCTCCAGTTTTCTTGTGGGTTTTGCTGCCTTCGCTTTATCTGTCTATTCGGGACGTTTTCAAATGTGACGCGCTTTGACCCTAACAAAATGTTTATCTGTATGAATCAATCATTTTTAAGGTAGATAAGTTCTTTTCAAAAATTTGAATTATTTTAAAAGTGAGAAGTGACAGAAACTGTCTTGTACTCGATTTTCACGGGGAAAAAGCTAAACTTTCTTAAAAACTACCTTATTTCTATCAGTTTATTGTATGTAACGTTGACAAGATTTATTCAAACCTGATACTGATTTTTCAGAATTACAGCCTATTATATTATCAGGTAATTTATCAGCTAATTTTTATAATCCTCTAATTTTGATGTGGGTTTTGTGATGGTACAGTATAATTTTTTCAATTCATTTGAAGTTTTTGTTTTCTGCTAAGGTTTCACCTGTTGTACTTTCAGATTTGATCCTATGATGTTTATTATTTTTATATCTAAGTAGGACAATCATCGAGCTCTCTTAAAGCTTTGACTAAAGATTTTAACTGAATGGCCTTCGAAAACGGCAGCAAATTATATTAATTTTAATTTTGCCCGAACAAACTTAGAATAGCTAAAGCAAACGTAGAATAGCTAAAGCATTGCTATCGTGTACACAATAACCGTAAAAATGGAATTCTGAAAGAAAATGAAACAAATTTCCATGTTTATACGTAATGTCCTACAGAAGCATGGCTGTTGTGCAACACCATAACACTTAACACTTAATAACACTTTACTTAAAGGATGCCACTAAAGCTAAGTCAGGTGTTAAGAGGAGCGCAGTACTGTAGGAGGGTGGCTACTACTACCAGTAGGATGTATACTACTACTACTACCAGTAGACACTCTCTTATATCACACTTCTCTCCAGTACCAGTGTAGGTTCCTTATCTTTTAAATACTTTGTAATTCTCTAATTACAAAGTATTTAATATATTATATATATTGTTTAATAATCTTTATATTATTAACTTAATATTGTCGGGTTACATTTTCTACCAGAGATAAGACGATGAAAGAATATTATTTTCAGATTGAATGTAAACCACGTCCACAACTACTCGCTTTTAACAAGACAGTTAACAATGCAAGTACCAGGGTTTGATAATATTGTTTCTGAGACGTTAGAAACATTAACTGAGGCGTTAGAGGAACTGCCTGATTTCATTCCTGACGTGCCGGAAATATTTGACGTGAGTTTGCAAAGTTTAGCACTAAACTACTGTATTTGACGCGAGTTTGCAAAGTTTACCACTAAACTACTGTATTTGACGTGAGTTTGCAAAGTTTAGCACTAAACTACTGTATTTGACGTGAGTTTGCAAAGTTTACCACTAAACTACTGTATTTGACGTGAGTTTGCAAAGTTTACCACTAAACTACTGTATTTGACGTGAGTTTGCAAAGTTTACCACTAAACTACTGTATTTGACGTGAGTTTGCAAAGTTTAGCACTAAACTACTGTATTTGACGTGAGTTTGCAAAGTTTAGCACTAAACTACTGTATTTGACGTGAGTTTGCAAAGTTTACCACTAAACTACTGTATTTGACGTGAGTTTGCAAAGTTTACCACTAAACTACTGTATTTGACGTGAGTTTGCAAAGTTTACCACTAAACTACTGTATTTGACGTGAGTTTGCAAAGTTTAGCACTAAACTACTGTATTTGACGTGAGTTTGCAAAGTTTACCACTAAACTACTGTATTTGACGTGAGTTTGCAAAGTTTACCACTACTGGATCATCTGTAGTCTGTACTGTAACCAGTTACTTCGAACTTATTGATAATTAAGTATTTTACAAGGTTGAATATAATGGGGAAGTGTTAACTTTGAAGATAAGAGAGGACTGCACTTATGTTATTAATAAACAGACCCCTAATCAGCAGATATGGCTCTCCTCCCCTATATCTGGACCTAAACGGTTTTTTATTAATTAAATTAGCTTCCAGTATCTTGATGGTGACTCTTGTCACACACACTGACCTTACTGATTGATTACTGGTCAAAAATTTAGTCAAAACTGTGAAATTTCGGTGAAGGAAACGACAGAAAAGCTTCTATTCAAAAATCTTCCAAAATGTATTGTATTCTGATGAATTTCCGTTTATCAGAGCTTTCTTTAGTAATCCAACTTTCAGTACCTCAATTGTGTCTCGTGCCATACCCAGTGAACTCATTGATAGGTCATTCAAGTAATATTCAGTCAAAGTAGTGAAATTTGAGTCTCGGAAAGCTCAAATCTTAAAATATCCTTCATTTTGTGAGTCTTCAATAATTCAAATTAATCTAAAATAGCTTACATGTTTTGTTTTTGTTTCATTATAATCGCTACAACTTTATCAAAACAGGTACGATTTCGTTGGTGGACAATGGATATATTCTCACGATAGCAGTTCATTGATAGACTTATTAGAAAGAGAGCTAAGCGAATTATTGAACTTTGAGTTTGAACTGAACACTGTGCGGCATTGCTTATTACCATTTAGCTGAATCGTCGGAATGTCTATATTGAGGATATTTTTAATTTAACACGATTTCGTTATGATTTAGAAACCACTAAAAGAAGTAGAACTCAATTAGCGGGGGTCTGCATTTTTACCCTATTTATTGAATTTAAGAACTACTAGAGCAACTTGTGAGACTGTCTGCTATGTTTTACATTATACTTTCAGATAAAAGTTAACATTTCATTTTTCTATTTTGGGACCTGGCGAACTTGAACAAGATTTAAGCTATGGAGATTGGAGGGGTGCGTGATGTAGCAAGTTATACGCTAGACTTGGCTGGAGTGGATCAACACAAACATTTTCCGACCAATGTTGGGCCATTCTGAGCACTTTTAGGAGAACATTCATTTTTGTTTATTCCATGAACCTGGATCATTCTGTGCGACTTTCGATGGCCCCTACATGTATATCCATTATAGAACACCGAGGGGACCGGGGCTTACTGGTACTCAATTACAGTTCATATCATGAACAAACTAAGTAAAACCTACCATAAACTACCTACTGTATTCATTTTTAAGTGAAAGTTGGAGATCAAATAATCACCCAAAATCACGTTTTTAGATTATTCTCAACAATTCTGACCAAATTTATGGCTGAAACGTAGCGCGCAAAGAGATATTAATGTATAAAGTTTCATGAATTGCATTTAGAAGGCTGCGCTTACTATATAGATCGAGTAGCAGAGAGTAGTTGAGTATGCACTTCAATGTCCACAATTTTTGACCACACAGGGTCTTTCATTAGGTCATTCCAAACCAAAATCATCTAGGTACCCATTTTGTATCGCTAGTCCCAGTCCTACAGGGCGAAATTTCAAAATTGCCCTCAGGCGCAAATTTGGGATTTTTGTATCTCGGCTTCTAAACGACTTAGAGACTTGATCATTAGCTTAAAATAACCGCAATAGCATTATCTATATACAAGTTATGAAGCAATATAAGGTCGCAAGTGCCTAGTTTTTAAGATATTCACGAAAAACTGTCTTTTAGCTCATCGCAGCCTGAATTACCGGATTATTTTTATATCTCGAGCTAGAAAGGTCGTTAAAACTTCTCCAATAATGATAAATATTCGCAATGGATGAGAAGTTTTACTCCACGTTCAATACTGGTTTCAGATGTCTAACTAACCGTTGAAAAGATGTATGTGAGTCAAGAGTCCAAGTAATTATCAAATATTCATCTCAGCCACTGCCCAGTTCCTGACATTTCAGGGTTTGTGACCCCTATTGCCTATGTCAGGTGCTGAAGGATTGTATCAAAACCATACAATAGCATATTTAAAGCCCTATCGATAGCCACAAACCGCATCTTGAAAATTGCAACGTGAAAATTTGCAACAAAAAGACAAAACGAATTACCAAATTTGTATTGCTGTACCCAAAATTACCGATTTTTGCCAATATCTTTACAAATAAGCATTTTAGAGCATACAATGATTCATAAGTCTTATATAAATGTGCTCATTGCGAATATTTATCAATATTGGAGAAGTTTTAACGACCTTTCTAGCTCGAGATATAAAAATAATCCGGTAATTCAGGCTGCGATGAGCTAAAAGACAGTTTTTCGTGAATATCTTAAAAACTAGGCACTTGAGACCTTATATTGCTTCATAACTTGTATATAAATAAGGCTATTGCGGTTATTTTAAGCTAATGATCAAGTCTCTAAGTCGTTTAGAAGCCGAGATACAAAAATCCCAAATTTGCGCCTGAGGGCAATTTTGAAATTTCGCCCTGTAGGACTGGGACTAGCGATACAAAATGGGTACCTAGATGATTTTGGTTTGAAATGACCTAATGAAATACCCTGTGTGGTCAAAAATTGTGGACATTGAAGTGCACACTCAACTACTCTCTGCTACTAGAGTAGCTAGCTCGCGCGGCCGGCCGGATCGCTCGCGGCGCGGCATGATCTTCTAGCTAAATTTATGATTGATATTATGTAATACTATATAAAAACTTTGACGATGCAGGACAGCAAGATACTATGTCATCATAGTTGTTGAGTGCCAATGTAATACTAGTTTAACCCGGCCTTCGACCGGGATTTCACTGCCACAGTTAAATTGTTGACGGATGTTACTCGTCAAAATTTCTTCGAAGTAGCGTGCGCCGCTTTCTTCTCGAAATGGCACGAGCTACGAAGTAGCGGGCGCCGGGCCAGACCATTAACAATGGTCAATTACAAATTGATGATCGATTAAATTGTTGATTGTAGGTTTACAACCTACCAGGACGCGCGCCGAGTTGGACTCGTCGACGGTCCATAATATATATTATGGAACAAATATTCTACGAGTATCACCCGTTAAAAGTTAAAAAGGGTAGGAGTACTTACCCGCTGAGTCAAAACCCGCATTAGGTGAGCAATTCTATTCCGATTCGGAGTGCCCTCCAATACCTTACAAGACATATTTATAACGTACGAAATGTGGCGGTTTTCCGAAAATTTCGCCATATTTTCGGACCGCCAAAATTTCGGTCGTCGTAATAGAATCCGTCGCATTATCTTTTAGCTTATTTAAATGACTGTGCCTTCACTGCTTTATTTTGTTTCTAAAAAGTAATATCAAGTAAAATAAATAAATAAATTCTGGCATCTTGGGACAAATTATCACCACACCAATGACGAATTGAATGTCAAGCAATACAGTTTAAATTTGCATTAAAATACATGTATGTGCTAACATGAAAGTCTTACAGTCTTAATACAGACTAAGTTTGAACATGATTTTACCGAATTTCAGAAATTTCCTTACTGCTTACAGCTGTCACAAAAATGATGAAAAATACCCTTATTTTCTGTGACGTCCGAAATGTGACGGTTTTTGTTCAATTTCGCCATATTTTCGGACCGCCAAAATTTCGGTCGTCGCAAATTGGTCCGCCACAAAAAAGTCTTGTAAGGTAGTATTTAACATAATCGCATAATCAGTTCTTTCTTGTGGATAATTAAGTCATAATTAGGCACCACATTCCTGTGGCTCTTACATCTTACTAATTCGCTCGCCCAAAAATTTCACGTGACTTTGGTTTTTATGGTCTTGCAGCCGTACAAAACGGTTTTACATTAACCCTAATCCCAACCCTAGCCCTAACCATAACCCCAAAGCTAACCATAACCCTTACCACAACCCTAACCCGAGCCCTAAACAACAAACAATCGAATTCATATTTTACTAGCCTGTCACGTGACCAAACCGGTTTTTTGCCCATAACTCTCCGTGGAAGCAATTTTACCTTACGTCATGTGGGGTAATTCGGAATTAGCGTCCAAAAATACACCGATTCAGATCAATTTCACACCCGAAGGGTGGATCTGACCCCTAATAATTGGGGGTCCCCCTTATGCCTTAGTCGGCCTCCCATAATTAATAATATGTACTACTGTCAATTATTCCTTCAGATCACACTCACAGATGACATGCCTTTTTTAAAGTGAAACTAAACAATTACACACAACACAGAATTTGATTTAAGTTAAGAAATAATACCAAATACATCAATTTCAAACAATTTCCTTTTCAATAATTTAACCACGAAACTAAAATAATTATTCAAGATCTTTAAATGTAATTTTATAAAACGAATTTCTTGACGATAAACTCCGACCTCTACCATCAATTAAGCCCCAATACTAATACTAATTTAACTTTGCACATTTTTATCAGTGATTGCATTTCTAAGTTTTAGTTTCACTTTCATGAAGTTTTAGTTCTACTTTCAAGAAAGCGCTGGAGTTTATATTTGGGAAGTGTACCAACAATCTGAACCGTTTATCAGTCAACTAAGGAGTAAGGTCCTTTGTGTGATTGAGCCGCCTCCTTTTGTGATTATTATTTAAAACATAAACCTAATAGTCAGAGTAGCGACTACTCCTAGCACTACTGTCTAGTAATAGTCAGAGTAGCGACTACTCCTAGCACTACTGTCTAATAATAGTCAGAGTAGCGACTACTCCCAGCACTACTGTCTAGTAATAGTCAGAGTAGCGACTACTCCTAGCACTACTGTCTAGTGTTCTGAAGGAGGAAGGAACTGCGAACTGGTCTGACTCCGTCACATCAAACTCACTGAACTCATCTTCCCGAGAAGTTGAGCAGCCTCCGCACAGCAAGGAGGAGAAGAGGGACTTGTTTCTTGGTCTACTTCTGAACACCTACACGGGATAGGGTCTATATAGTTGGGGGGGGGGACCTGTTTCTTGGTCTACTTCTGAACACCTACACGGGATAGGGTCTATATAGTTGGGGGGGGGGGGACCTGTTTCTTGGTCTACTTCTGAACACCTACACGGGAATCTGTATGAAAAAGAGTTTTCTCGATGATTAGAATTAGTTATTAAATAATCAAGAGGCTTACATATGAACATATTGACATGGGTGTAGAGTTGAGCCTGTACGCGCGGAACCTAGTAGTTTCAGTTCCTTGTTTAACTTGCCGTACAGCAAGGACATTCACTACTTTAGCCCGGCGAGGCACATAGCTCACTCCTCAACTCCGTGTCAAATGTTTCATATATACTAGCCAAGAACACAAGATATGGAGAGCATGATTTCATCTTTATAAGGGAGAGTATTGTCATACGTTGTATGACCCGCCGCGCACGAGTGCGCGGCTCCCCCTGTATCGTCGAAACTCTACACTATAGTGAAGCGACAGTGGGGGTCACCACGTGATACAAGGAGAGTAGTGCATAGTGGTAGAATGCTGTGACAAATTAATCAACTATTTTTCTAAGACAAAATATCATTTTTGTTTTTCAACAACACAAACTAAAGTGAAAAAGCGTTAATCTCACGTTATAAAGTAGTAGTTGTCAGTCGTTGTCAAAGTAAATCCTGGTGCCCAACTGCCTAAAGGAGCCCATAATGTTCGAAAGCGACGATCTCCGCTGATCCTTACTATCGCCACATTTGAATATCTAGAAACCAACTTACTGATGTCACGTGGTAAAGTAACTGATGTCACGTGGTAAAGTAACTGATGGCACGTGGTAAAGTAACTGATGTCACGTGGTAAAGTAACTGATGGCACAAGGTAAAGTAACTGATGTCACGTGGTAAAGTAACTGATGTCACGTGTTAAAAAAGATTTGCATTAAAATCAGATAACTAATCAGAAAGGTACCTAATTAACATTACCTGGGCCTCGTGAGAGAAGTCAGGGAAACTAATAACAATCTTATGTCGAGCAGCTTGCACCACACTCTCAGTAACTATCACTTCCCTGAGGGGGAAGGGAGTGGATTAGTAACTATCATTTCCCTGGGGGAAGGGAGTGGATTAGTAACTATCAATTCCCTGGGGGGGGGGGGAAGGGAGTGGATTAGTAACTATTACTTCCCTGGGGGGAAGGGAGTGGATTAGTAACTATCACTTCCCTGGGGGGGGGGGGGAAGGGAGTGGATTAGTAACTATCAATTCCCTGGGGGGAAGGGAGTGGATTAGTAACTATCAATTCCCTGGGGGGAAGGGAGTGGATTAGTAACTATCAATTCCCTGGGGGGGAAGGGAGTGGATTAGTAACTATCACTTCCCTGGAGGGAAGGGAGTGGATTAGTAACTATCACTTCCCTGGGGGGAAGGGAGTGGATTAGTAACTATCAATTCCCTGGAGGGAAGGGAGTGGATTAGTAACTATCAATTCCCTGGAGGGAAGGGAGTGGATTAGTTACTATCACTTCCCTGGGGGGAAGGGAATGGATTAGTAACTATCAATTCCCTGGGGGGAAGGGAGTGGATTAGTAACTATCAATTCCCTGGAGGAGGGGAGTGGATAAGTTATAGTAACTATCACTTCCCTGGGGGGAAGGGAGTGGATTACCGATTAGTAACTAACTGAAGTAGATTTTTTATAATTTACATGGAAAAAAATAGAAAAAGAAACCGACGCCGATAAGTAACATAGTTTTACCTAGCGTCCATAGCGCGGACAAACTCAATAATGACAAGTCCTGACACGGCCCGGTGAAAACCTCCGCTCTCCCTAGCCTGGTGTTTGCGGGTATCTGCTATAGCACACTGTCTCCACAGATAGAGACGAGACGAGAGACCGGGGAGAAAGTCGTCCGGTACAAGATCCTGTAGTTAGTTAGTTAGTTAGTTAGTTAGTTAGTTAGTTAGTTAGTTAGTTAGTTAGTTAGTTAGTTAGTTAGTTAGTTAGTTAGTTAGTTAGTTATTTAGTTAGTTTGTTAGTTTGTTAGTTTGTTAGTTCGTTAGTTTGTTAGTTCGTTAGTTTGTTAGTTTGTTAGTTTGTTAGTTTGTTAGTTTGTTAGTTTGTTAGTTTGTTAGTTTGTTAGTTTGTTAGTTTGTTAGTTATTTAGTAGTAGTAGTTACCTTCTTATTGCTCTGGACACTAATTTGAATACTCATATTGTCGGAGGGCTGGAACACAAAGTAGAACAACTCGAATCTTTCTGTTAACCAGGCTGGGTAGGGGGAAACAGAAAACAGATCTGTTCGGAAACATCTCGCTGCTTTCATTGACTTCAGGAACTCTTCCGACGCATCCTGGAACAAAATATACTTAAACAATAGGTGGTATGGCTGCAATATAAAATACCTTCACAATACGTAATTTTGCAGTGCACTGAACTGATAATTTAAAAAGATAGGTAGACTCTAGCTGCTGGAGGTACTCACAGCCAGACGCTCGAAGTCACTGGGAGCAATATCGTCCAGGATATTAGAGTAGGGGAACGAAACGTCCGCAATATAGGGGGGTTTGAACTTCTTACCAACGTAGTTCCCTCGGATGTAGTACCCGAAATCTATCTTAATTGAGTTGAACTTCTTTAGTGCGAGGAGGAAGTCGAGGAATATGACGTGGAAATCACTGGAATGTTGTTTCCTGGAGCAGACATACACCTGCCAATATGCTCTATAAAGTGTTGATAAATACTTAAATAGTACTTAACAATAATTTATGTACCACATAAATCTGATAATATAATCTCAACAATTTCGAACACAAATTGATAATAAAAACATTGATATTAAAGTTTAAACTGACCCCGAGAGCTTCTACGTAACGGAGCAGGCCAAAGTGTACGTTGTTCAGGAAGACCTTGAGACACCAGAACTTACACACTCTAATGAAGGACACACAGAAAGTAGATTGTGTGGCAAAGAAGTCGTGATAACACTCGGCCAGGGACGAACTGTAAAGTTAGGGTGGTGTCTGATTAGTGTGCTCATTAGAAGGAGGGAACTATTGAATACTAGATAACATTCCCACTAAGTTTAGCTATAACTTTATTTCTGGAGCAGATCATTGCACACAAGCAAATTTCCTTTACCCCCCCCCCTGTACACCCCTCTTGATTTACCTGTAACCCCACCCCCCCCCCCCCCCCCCCCCATGTGCCCCCTCCTGATTTACCTGTAACGTTTACCCAAGTTCTGGATGACAAAGAATCTGTCCGTCGTGTCTGTCATAGCAGAGGTTTGTTCCTCTATGTGCTTCATAACATTTTCACACTGTAACAGCTCTAGTAAACTTGCCAGTAACAAATGAGATACGTTTTGGGAGATGTTAGAGCCTTTAAAATAATCTTAGCATGCGTTGAAAAAAGAACAGACAGGAAAGCATAATATAATAAGGTCGGGTTACACTAGTAATATAATAAACCTGACGCTTGTTAAGTTGCTCTAGGGAGTTGTCAATCTCCTCCAGTATATTCTGCTCACAGCTCAACTCGTGGATCTGATCTTTACTCTCCTGGACATTATCAGGAACATCCGAGTCAGAGTCAGAGTCAGAGTCAGAGTCTCGGGTCTGATCGCCAAATATCACCTCACTTCCCCCTGACATGATGTCATCTCCGCTGCTACACAAATCTGTGATTACAAATCCGTGATTACACCTCTGTGATTACACCTCTGTGATTACAAATCTGTGATTACAAATCCGTGATTACACCTATGTGATTACAAATCTGTGATTACAAATCTGTTATTACAAATCTGTGATTACAAATCTGTGATTACAAATCTGTGATTACAAATCTGTGATTACAAATCTGTGATTACAAATCTGTGATTACAAATCTGTGATTACAAATCTGTGATTACAAATCTGTGATTACAAATCTGTGATTACAAATCTGTGATTACAAATCTGTGATTACAAATCTGTGATTACAAATCTGTGATTACAAATCTGTGATTACAAATCTGTGATTACAAATCTGTGATTACAAATCTGTGATTACAAATGTGTGATTAAAAATATGTGATTACAAATCTGTGATTACAAATCTGTGATTACAAATCTGTGATTACAAATCTGTGATTACAAATATGTGATTACAAATCTTTGAACAGTATAAATACTAGACTCCGGACTATGATATGTCTATACTATATGATATGGATTATCTTGTACCAAATTCGTGGACTTATATATGTCAGAGTTCAGACTACCATTCATAAAATATGACAATTCAGTAAAACTTGCATCCTTTTTCTTAAGTATAATAAGTTCGGTTTTTAAATGGATAAATATCTGTAGGACAGTTCAAACTGCAATCAGTTGAATCAACTGCTGATAAAAATATCAAAATTTTAAATAAGTAGATAATAAAAATCTCACTAAAAACAGCAGATTTCCTTTAAATGTGCTTCAAATTCAGCTTAATATCAACTTCATGGTATTCTTTGAATAAATTTACAAGACTTCTGTAAACTTAATAGGAGGGTGTAAAGGTAAGATCAAACTAATATTCGTTACCATAGTAATGTCTTTGGCAGTCTGGGTATATAAGTTGGAGCACTGACAAGTATTCTAGGAGGGGAAACGTTTCAAAACCTCTCAAGTTAGCTACCTCTCAAGTCCAAATACACATTGGGCCAGAATCCAGACTATTTCCAGTTTTATACCGCTTATTGGCAGGAAGTATGCAAACAACATTCGTAGAATACATTAGTCCCATCACACGTATTAGCATTGAAATATTAATCATGGCCCACCGGCCTGTAGAATTAAACATTTTCATAACAACTAGAACATCTGGTAAATTAATGGAGTAAACTGTAAACTGTAGGCGGTATAACTATAATGTACGTAACTTGTCGAATGAATTAAACATGTTGGACGAAACCTTTGGTTTGCTGCGCTAGTTTTAGAACATCCTTAACAAACTCGTCATCCTCAAACTCATGAGCTTTATTCACCGCCGCCGGGTCTCCGGACTCCTTACAAGGTTAACAATGTTTACAAGGTTAACAATGTTTACAGTATTAACAACGTTAACAAGGTTAACAATGTTAACAATGTTTACAAGATTAACTATGTTAACATGATTAACAATGTTTACATGATTAACAATGTTAACAATGTTTACATGATTAGCAATGTTTACAAGGTTAACAATGTTAACAATGTTCACATGATTAACAATGTTTACATGATTAACAATGTTTACAAGGTTAACAATGTTTACAAGGTTTACAAGGTTTACAAGGTTAACAATGTTTACAAGGTTAACAATGTTGACAAGGTTAACAATGTTTACAAGGTTAACAATGTTTACAAGGTTAACAATGTTTACAAGGTTAACAATGTTAACAAGGTTAACAAGGTTAACAATGTTTACAAGGTTAACAAGGTTAACAATGTTTACAAGGTTAACAATGTTTACATGATTAACAATGTTAACAAGGTTAACAATGTTAACAATGTTTACAAGATTAACTATGTTAACATGATTAACAATGTTTACATGATTAACAATGTTAACAAGATTAACAATGTTTACATGATTAACAATGTTTACAAGGTTAACAATGTTAACAATGTTCACATGATTAACAATGTTTACATGATTAACAATGTTTACAAGGTTAACAATGTTTACAAGGTTTACAAGGTTAACAATGTTTACAAGGTTAACAATGTTAACAAGGTTAACAATGTTTACAAGGTTAACAATGTTTACAAGGTTTACAAGGTTAACAATGTTTACAAGGTTAACAATGTTAACAAGGTTAACAATGTTTACAAGGTTAACAATGTTTACAAGGTTAACAATGTTTACAAGGTTAATAATGTTTACAAGGTTAACAATGTTAACAAGGTTAACAAGGTTAATAAGGTTAACAATGTTTACAAGGTTAACAATGTTTACAAGGTTAACAAGGTTAATAAGGTTAACAAGGTTAACAAGGTTTATATTGTTCAAGGTTAACAATTTTGACAAGGTTGAAAAGGGGTAACACGACTCCAACAGCACTATTTTCTGGTGTTTGAAGTGATATCTCAAATTTGGCATTTATAAATTCACCCAAACTTGCACAGATTATTCGTCTTAAAGCTATCTTACTATCTGGAAAGTTTCAAGAAAATCGTATAGTTGGATCTGACATAAACTATTGTCCGAAAAACCTATTTTCGGAGTCGGACAGGAGTCGCCCAATCTTGACAAGGTTAACATGAAACGATAAAAAAGGAACAAATGAAAAAGAATACCGCGTCTGCTTCCCGCCACTCTGCTTCTTCTTCAGCTATGGTGTAGTCTGGTACATGTGGTATCTGAAAATGTATTTATTGGTGTATGGAATCTAAATTTTGTAATTATTATAGCAAGCACATTTACCAGTTAAGTTCGATGATCAACCCTAGAATGGAGTGAAACTGTGTCTCAACTCTACTTTACCTCAGGGGTGAAACTGTGTCTCAACTCTACTTTACCTCAGGAGTGAAACTGTTTCTCAACTCTACATTACCTCAGGAGTGAAACTGTGTCTCAACTCTACTTTACCTTAGGAGTGAAACTGTGTCTCAACTCTACTATACCTCAGGGGTGAAACTGTGTCTCAACTCTACTTTACCTCAGGAGTGAAACTGTGTCTCAACTCTACTTTACATCAGGAATGAAACTGTGTCGCAACTCTACTTTACCTCAGGAGTGAAACTCTGTCTCAACTCTACTTTACCTCAGGGGTGAAACTGTGTCTCAACTCTACTTTACCTCAGGGGTGAAACTGTGTCTCAACTCTACTTTACCTCAGAAGTGAAACTGTGTCTCAACTCTACTTTACCTCAGGAGCGAAACTGTGTCTCAACTCTACTTTACCTCAGGAGTGAAACTGTGTCTCAACTCTACTTTACCTCAGGAGCGAAACTGTGTCTCAACTCTACTTTACCTCAGGAGTGAAACTGTGTCTCAACTCTACTTTACCTCAGGGGTGAAACTGTGTCTCAACTCTACTTTACCTCAGGGGTGGCAGATTGTTCTAGTTGAAACCACTCCGTGTGACTAAGAGACCGGGGTTGTCTCCGTTCCAATAACACCATGTCCCGTGCCAGTAGAAGGTTCACTGTTACACCTGAGTCAGGGTAACACTGAGTATTTATCCGCAATTATATCATCTGAATTACTTTCCAACAGACATACTGACATAGCTCGTACAAAACTGTGTAATTATCAAGATGTTCATGGTAATTGACAAGCACTATAATGAGACAATGTATCTGATAAGGACCTTGAAACAAGCATTGGAAGCCGCCGTGAATATCCTCCAGATCAGATATATTCCAAGTGAGGACAATGTCCTTTATCTCTCGCAAACACTCTAGTGAGTCGAAATTACAACTGAGGATATGTAATGTAATTGTTATATAACTGTTATACAGCTAACCATTAATTTAATGGTAGTCATCGTATAGTGAACCTAGTTAAATCACAGTTTTATTTAGTTAGCATCCTGTACAGAGCCTCAAGCTCTGCTGTCTAGAGAGTAGAGAGGTTATAATCAAAGAATTAATTAAAATATCTAACATCCCAACGATTTTGTAAATCTTATGAAGTGATTCTTAAAACATCTACTGATGTTCAGTTGAAAGAGAGTTATAGAGTTATCAAGATTTTAAATTCCCAAATAGTCAGACTGAGCAGGTTGAGCTGTAGTAAAACACAGTACTGAGGTTGTTAAAACATTTTCATTACTATCTTCAGTAACATCCTGAATCAGAAACTCGGTTAATATCAGTTCCTACAAAGTGTAACATTGGAAATGAAATGACACAACTAAAAACGATATGAATATTTTTAAAAACATAACTCTTGTGCCCCAATGCAATGGAGTTATATTAACCTTGAATGCAAGTATAGGATAAGATCTAGCTCGAAATCGAAGGCTACACAGTGCGGCTTGCTCTTTTCATCGAGTATCGAATATCTGAAATGAGGGAATTTGCTAGGATAGTTATAGTATTGATAAAACAAATATTCTTAGATCATAAAAGCTAATGAATTTTCCCAGTTTTATTATTTAAATACCTCTGAATAGCAAGGTTGGGGTACTCTATCTGTAGTTTGGATACTAGTTTGTCTAGCGTCTCAGCTACATCTTCTCCCACGAAAGGTTTCAGAGTCTCGGAGAGATCCTCCAGCGCCGCGGCGAAATAGCTGGGGTCCATCACCAGCACGTGTTTATATGCCCATATATGGTTATATGAGCACGTGTCATGAGGCTGTGATACAGCTATCTACACGTGCAGCAGACACTGTACTGGATCGCTAAGTGTCGGGTTAAGTGTTCTGGTGGCTCAGTATTTCCGTAATTAAGTAACTAAAATTAAATCACAAAAATCATAAACCTCAATAGCTTTGATAAAATAAGGCAATGCCAGCAAACAAAAGGTATCAAACTAGAAAAAGAACTAGAGTGAAATTTTCTATTTTTAGAACAAATCCTAGGAGTGTATGACTGGATTATAATAACTGGTATCGATATAACAAGTAAAGGAAGTAGTGGTTTTGTTAATGTAAAGGAAGTATTACTAAAATAATAACTGGTGTTTAATATAACAAGTAAAGGAAGTAGTGGTTTTGTTAAATACTAATGTAAAAGAAGTTTTACTAAAATAATAACTGGTGTTAATATAACAAGTACAAGAAGTAGTGGTTTTGTTGAATACTAATGTAAAGGAAGTATTACTACTGTTCACTAGACCCAGCCAAGTCCCTCTAAAGTTTCCGGGACTAAATTCAGCTGTTTCCGTGACAAGAAAAACTGTTATTCGTCTGTCAAATGGAGCCCAAAAAACGACAATTGTTAACAACTTTGCTGAGCCGCGTTTAAACTGAAGCTGTGAGCGATTTGGCAACAAGGAGAGGTTGTGTAACCACTAATATCCTGTGTAACTGGATACTAGCTGGTGGTTAATGAACAGTACTGGATTATACTCACAATACTCATTTGGAAACAACCCTCCGCAAGCAACCCACAAATTAGATCGGCCCTCGTTAATGCGTCTACTGAGAGGATGGATACAAGCCTGTACTTTGTACATAGGGCTTTAAAATATGCAAACTGCGGAGAAGTCATAAAAAGTTACGTATAAATAATCTGAATTTAACAAGACGATGTATTATATTATATGTTATTAGGCCCCTTCAGTACACATGTGATACATATTTCCTTTCACAATGATTTGTGACGTAAGTTCTGGATATTTGAGATGAATTAGACCTGATGTAGATCTGCTCTAGTAGCAGACTACAGAGTTGCCGGACATGTGACAATAGTTGAGCGAAATAAAATAGTGTCACTTACAAGTGGTCTACTATATCGTCAGGTGATAATTTGAACTACATTTTCCTCTCCTGTTACACATTTTCCTCTCCTGTTACACATGACAAATACATCACACGGCAAATAAACCAATTTAACTAAATATTTGATATTTTTCCTACAACAAAACTTCGACGAACAAAATCCGGCTTCAGAAGACATAATTAGTGTATAAATTATGAAATCAGACATTCTACAATTAAGCATAACGAGTAACGACGGTACCGCGACAATTGACCCCCTATGTAATTACACCGGGGTCAATTGTCGCGAAATCTAGGGCTTAGTACGACAATTGAACCCCCGACGGCCGACAATTGACCCCCGACAATTGACCCCCTATGTAATTACACCATGGGGTCAATTGTCGCGAAATCTTGGGCTTAGTACGACAATTACCCCCATGTAATTACAATGGGGTCAATTGATCGGGTTAGGGTTAGGGCTCTAGGTTAGGGTTAATTGTATTAAATTATATTGTTAATTGTCGGGGGGTCATTTGTCGGGGGGTCAATTGTCGCCCACCCGTAACGACACGCCACTTCCTCAGGATGTGAACTACAAAATCATTTTACCAGAAATTGAAACTCTGCAAGAGATAGTCTGATATAGAGAAGTATACTGAATGAGAAGTTATACTCTAGTAGCAGAGTGTAGTTGAGCCTGTTTTACATTCTTTGGTACTTGAGAACATTCTCAAGTACCAAAGAATGTAAAACAGGCTCAATCAAGGAATCTTTAACAAGTCCAATTTACATACTGCTCCCATATAATTAACTTCCACATTTTGTTAAGAATTGTTCAGCACTAAACTAAGGGAGTGGCATGCTGCTCACTATATTTTTACAGACTTATGTTCAAAATTAATTTACCCTCTTGACAGAAACATGCTGCTAATTTACAAATTAGACGATTGTGTAGTGCAATTAGTCACTAGTCACTATACTGATCAGTCATGACAAGTGAATTAGTCACTAGTCACTATACTGATCAGTCAAGTGAACACACGCACACCTAATATTGTGTAAACATGGTCTGTAGTGTAGTGCACTACATGTCACCCGACTAGATGGGTGGGGCTGTGAGCACGTGCAGTGTGTAATACTGTATCAGTAATTAGCGTGTAATACTGTTCTAAACAAGGGTTATATAAAGATGAAGCCACTTCTAATCCTACACAATATAAACTAAGTTAATAATAACTAAAGTTAATAATGAATTTATTAACTATACTGAGCATAATCTATAATAAAAGTCAGCTCGTACAGAATATAACTAACTATATTTACAGCGGTACGCTACACTACAGGGCCTGGGCCACAGCTTGACAGAACAAGTAGCGAAGGAAGTCGTTTATCGAAGCCAAAAATAACACACAGTAAATCACCAGACACCAATAACAAACAGCAGGACTGCAATAATTATCATGAGAAGACAAACTGACAGCGTTTATTTGAAATAAATATGTATATATTGTTAGTCAGCCACAACTGTCAGTAAAACAACGCCTTGACTTCCAATGTTGGTAAAATATACCTTTACAGTCATCCTCAATAAATGTAATAGATTTGTACTGTTGTAATTAGTTTAAAACTAATATATAATATATATATATATTTTGATTTCTAAATCAACAATTGATTTGTTGCCCGGAGGATTATCTGAATGCTTGAATAATGTAACAGAATGAAGGAGCCTATAAGTATAATAATATACTGTGCGGTAACACACACTGTGACTACAGGTACAGAGAGTAATACTATTCTATACAGGTATAGGTATTTATAGTTCACAACCTTATCTGGCATGATTTGCATTGCACGCAATTAGTCGTATCTGTAATATATATTATACAATACATAATAATAATATACAATAATTGTGTACAAAGCAAACGGAATGTTATAAATAGCTCCTAATATATTGTAATTGAGCACTTTGCAACGTTGGAAACATTTTCTATACACAGGAAAATGGATTTAGTAGTTCTTAAACCCATACGATTGCATTAGTAATAATAGCAAGAAACTTTTAGTATGTTAACTCTTTGTTTCAATTGTATAAAGCTCCTTCCGGGTAGAGCACTCTTGCAACTGGAGAAATCCAAACAAAAATTGTCCAATTGGTATTTCGAAAATCAGTAAAAAATTAAAATTTTGATTTCGTAATCAACGACCAAAACTCCCCCCCCCCCCCCCCCAATCAACCGTAACCATTTGAAACCCCCCCCCCCCCCTCGGCTGATTACGTAATATGTGAACGACCCCATATATATAATATAATACATAATAATTGAACCGTGCATTATCTTTAACGTGCATAATTTTAGCCACTATTTTAATTGAGCTGCAAGATTACCCACAATAACACAATTAACCTGAATAGACAGCAGCACTGCAACACCCCCCCCCCCCCCCCCATGCCACTGCAACTTCATGACAGGTCCGGATGTACAGTAAATAATTAAAGAAGTGACGAAACGCCTAAAAACAAGGCTCAACAAATAAGAGCACCCACCTACGAGTAGTAGTAAACAAACCACTAGTATACCGGCTGAGTTATTGACAAAGCAATTGCACAGATAAAATCATTATTTTGCAAGTGTATTATGGCAACTGGTATTGTGTACAACTAGTATTGTGTACTAGTTATATTGGCCCACTATTCTAATTTGTAAGCAAGGTATAATGGTGGATGTATCGACTACAAGACAGAATGAAACAACGGAAGTTGGAGATAATACTTTGCAACAGATGAAACCTGTAAAATCACAGTGAACACGTAATATTCCCGATACTAGCAATATTAGAGGATATTGGCAGTAGTTTTAATATGAAGCACTGCCGCACACACAAATAAAGTCACTGAGTCGAATAGGTGACAGCTAGGCAGGAGGTGTTTAATAAGACACCTGCTGTGAAATGCAGCTATATTGCAGCTATATTGAAGCTATATTACAGCTATATTGTAGCTATATTGCAGGTATATTGAAGCTATATTGCAGGTATATTACAGCTACATATATTGGACTGTACTCACTATTTTACTGTGAACTCACGCGACACGGCCTCACGTGACACCGGAGTTCACAGTAAGGTTTGAATTGTGACAGCGACCAATGGGAAGGATTTATAATATCTACAAGATCGGACAGTACCAATTAGAATCACTGCAAACACTTTGTAGAGTTCACTTTGTGTGTGTGGAGTTCACTTGGTGTGTGTGTGGAGTTCACTTGGTGTGTGTAGAGTTCACTTGGTGTGTGTAGAGTTCACTTGGTGTGTGTAGAGTTCACTTGGTGTGTGGAGTTCACTTGGTGTGTGTAGAGTTCACTTGGTGTGTGTGTGTGGAGTTCACTTGGTGTGTGTGGAGTTCACTTGGTGTGTGTAGAGTTCACTCGGTGTGTGTAGAGTTCACTTGGTGTGTGTAGAGTTCACTTGGTGTGTGTAGAGTTCACTTGGTGTGTGGAGTTCACTTGGTGTGTGTAGAGTTCACTTGGTGTGTGTAGAGTTCACTTGGTGTGTGTAGAGTTCACTTGGTGTGTGGAGTTCACTTGGTGTGTGTAGAGTTCACTTGGTGTGTGTGTGTGTGTGTGGAGTTCACTTGGTGTGTGTGGAGTTCACTTGGTGTGTGTAGAGTTCACTCGGTGTGTGTAGAGTTCACTTGGTTTGTGTAGAGTTCACTTGATGTGTGTAGAGTTCACTTGGTGTGTGTAGAGTTCACTTGGTGTGTGTAGAGTTCACTTGGTGTGTGTAGAGTTCACTTGGTGTGTGTAGAGTTCACTTGGTGTGTGTAGAGTTCACTTGGTGTGTGTGGAGTTCACTTGATGTGTGTGGAGTTCACTTGGTGTGTGTGGAGTTCACTTGGTGTGTGTAGAGTTCACTTGGTGTGTGTAGAGTTCACTTGGTGTGTATAGAGTTCACTTGGTGTGTGTAGAGTTCACTTGGTGTGTAACCTGGGCCTGGGGTCCCAAGGTAACAGAATCCGAGTCACTTTCTTTTTCATCCCCTTAAGGCCTTTTCCAGAGATGTTTTTTAAATTTGGTCGAGAAATTTAGTGGGAGCGGGCAAAGACTTGATAAATGGACTAGCAGTTTTAATTACTAGGGGGTACTATCTTTAATTACCACGCCGTTTATTTCGGTCACACAGCATTAAATAGCATGGGAACATTTATTATCTGAATCATTATCTTGAAGTTTTTGTACAACGAAAAATGCGAAAGATTATCATAATATATCATATTATTAAAATTATTCCAGCAAAGTTGTAAATGTTCAGAGAATTCTGTTTCTCATAGTAAGTAGTATCTCCAAGTTACTAGCAGTTACTAGCAGTAACTAGTAGTTACTAGCAGTTACTAGTAGTTACTAGCAGTTCCTAATAGTTACTAGCAGTTACTAGTAGTATGCAAATCTGAAACCTCTGCAGTTATTGTAAAAATGTTTAACTGTAGTCAACTCAATAACAAGGGGTTGGTGTACTTGATATATTCTCGTCAGTAGATCACCAAAATGTGAACTATCAGGTAATGAAGAGTAGCAGTATTAGTAGTAGTGGAGGAGGTTCACTAGCTAACTTCACCACAATCCACTATCTCAACCGGTTTAGAAGGTTTGCCATCTTTAGTTCCACAAGCCTCCATCTGTCTGACTATATCCATTCCGTCTATTACCTGGGAAATAGGGTTCATAACAAACACCAATTTTCAAACCAGGTTTTTTTTTCTTTAGTGATACTGGATACAGCTGCAGCCGTCATAAAGATTTTTTAAAAACTGTAAAAACCTATCAGAAAACTCTTAGTCGCGTTACTCTAGAGCAATAACAGGCAACATTTTTTTAAAGGGTAATTCATGGTCGATGGGTTTTCTGGTCGTATCTTTTTATAGGTCGTAAAGATTTTGAAAAATTTAGCCATTTGGGATAAAAGATAGGGAAATATTTGTTGAGAAATTGATTCAAACTATGAAATCATAAAAAATAACTTAGCGAATGTTCGTTCATGTTACCGTAACAACATCTGGAACGACGTGCGATCTAGCTATTAAATACATAGTAATAATACAAGACACGGACGGAAGGAGGCGGTGCTCACTACTCTCAAGAATTATATGGAATGATAAGATCGCAGTAACTTTGAGTAGCATACCTCGCCGAAGACCACGTGTTTTCCGTCAAGCCACTCAGTTTTCTCGGTACAAATAAAGAACTGACTGCCGTTAGTATTGGGTCCTGTATGGAAGGGAGTTGTTACAGGTGTTATATACAATATGGATGTGTTTCTTACACTTAACAACTTATCTTTTAATAACACCTCTTTTCAAAAAGCCTGATAACACTTCATCTAAAATTATAATTTAGATGGTTTAATTAAGATGAACTACTGATTTAAGATATCCTTACCTGAGTTATATAGTTACCATGACAACTAGAGCTTACCTGAGTTAGCCATGGACATCGTACCCGGCTTTGTGTGCTTTAAAACAAAGTTTTCATCTTGAAACTTTTTCCCGAATATGCTTTTACCCCCAGTGCCATTGTGGTTAGTAAAGTCTCCACCTTGACACATAAATCCAGGTATGATACGGTGGAACTTGCTCCCCCGGTAACCAAAACTGTAATTAAAACATTTTAAATCAGTAAATCTGATAAAGCATATTATGCAATACTAAAGGTAAATTTCACAAGGATTTTGGGTATCAAGTGTTCAGTCAGCCATGAATTCATAAAAAACAAAACCCACCCTTTTTCATGTGAGCAGAGTTCGAGAAAATTAGTACAAGTCATAGGAACCACATCCGACCTCAACTCAATTATTACCTTACCAACTTGTTGTTTACCTATCTTTATCGTTAGGTATACCTGAAAAACAGTATTTAAAAGTGATTTAAACCCATTTTCATGAGTTACAAATTAAAATTTTTGAATAACAAAGTAACAATCGTAATTCTAATTGTCAAAAAATTATCATAGTCATATTTATTTTCATCATTTCCTATGAGTATAATTTAATAAAACAAAATTAAAAAAGGTTTATTTGGTTGTTACGGGGTTGTTACTATCCCCTTGTTGTTGGTAGGCCACTTTGCTCTTGTTGTTGCGCGAGACGACGTGAAAGAAACTAATGTGTTAGAGAGCATAGCTACAAGTGATTACAAAAAAAATTGGGGGTCGTCATTATAATTTTCGCTAGCGACTTCAAAATGTACGGAATAAGTTGTCTCCCACCTGAGGTTTAGACTTCCTAGATACAGTTTCCTGCTTATTGGAGTCCACTATCTCCACCGGTATATTGTCGCTCTCAGGTTTACTCTGATGCTCCTGAATCCACTGATCTTCACTCCACACTGCCTTCATTGACCTGAAATATAGTTACCATGACAACTAGAGCATTATTAACCTGAAATATAGTTACCATGACAACTAGAGAATTTACGGGTGATACTCGTAAAATATCTGTTCCATATATCGAGTCCAACTCGGCGCGCGTCCTGGTAGGTTGTAAACCTACAACTAGAGCATTATTAACCTGAAATATGCCACTTTATTGGGGTCCCCTTGAAGCGGGTATACACTATACAGGTAGCGGGTATACAGTCACTATACACTATACAGGTAGCGGGTATACACTATACAGGTAGCGGGTATACAGTCACTATACACTATACAGGTAGCGGGTATACACTATACAGGTAGCGGGTATACACTATACAGGTAGCGGGTATACACTATACAAGTAGCGGGTATACACTATACAGGTAGCGGGTATACACTATACAAGTAGCGGCTATACACTATACACTATACAAGTAGCGGGTGTACACTATAGTACGTACTTGCTTTTGTAGCATCCCATTTTGTGGACAATAAAAATCAAACTTAAACGGAAGCAACAATTTAAAAAACTTAAAATCGAATCAATGTTACGCGCAACGTACGTACTGTAAATTGTAAGTCTCCTAACGAAGTTATGAGTTATATTTATACAGGGTATAGTCAGTAGACACTGCACTACTACACTACTACACTACTACACTACACTGTAGTGTAGTAGTGTAGGGTCCCAAGAGAAGGAATGAATTTTGTGACTCGTATTTTGAAACTCGTATATGATGCTTTAGAGTCTGTGTTAAAAATGTCAAACATCATCAGGAACTACTGAGCACAGGTCACTGTTGACTGTCAATCAAATTCTAATTGTAAAAAAGTAAGTTAGTTTTTAAATCTGAAACAGAATCGACTTTCAGAAAAGCTGCATGACTCCTACACCCACAGCGACAACGTCACCCAGATGAATCAAACACGGAAAAGGTTCTTATAATTGATTTGAAGTTATGGAGGATGCAAAATAATAGCTAATGGATGTTAGGCAATTAATAGGGTTAATCAAAGATTTTATGGATATCTAATATATAGAGTTATATATGTAGAATGAACGGAATCTTAAAAAGGGCAAATGGCTAATATATTTATGAAAGTTGCACTAGTGGGTGTTGAGTCACCAGTGCAACCAGTTCAACACTGTTGACACTGTGTAGTGTCCAGATAATATAAATATGTAATGGAAGGTTAAAAAGCAAAAGAAAAGAAAAGTTACTAACAAGTAACTAAGTAACTTAATATTTGGTGCTCCTTCGGAATTCAACTCGCAATACGATAGTCCTCCTATAATGTGATAGGAGGCCAGGATTTGAGCGTGCACTAATTCTAAACTCTAATATCGTTATTTGTTGACCATTTTCCTCCACTAAGTTAAGTTTTTAAGGAGTGGAGGTCAAAATTCTAATTGGGATGTAGGGCCAAGTGGGACACAACTTCCAGGCCCCATGTTGGTTAATGGCTTAGACAAAGGGTGTTCCAAATGTCTTGCAAGGAACCCAAAATATTTGTTTACTTTAATATTAAGTACTTACTCTAAGGGTGAGTACTGAGTACCTGTTCAGCACCAAAACCTTTTTTGCCGGGACCCGCGATTTGACTTCATATTATGAAAGTATGATGAAATCAATACGCTTTGATACATTGGAAATTTGTTTGAGATAATGCAATTGGTCAAGTATCAATATCTTTGAACAAGACTAACTTTACATGAAAGGTAAATCTAATCTATACATTAGAGGCCTTTAAAGAAATTAGCCCCCCCCCCCCCCCCCCTCCCAATTAAACGGCTAAATTTTGAATAGAGATAATATAGGTATATTAAAGTATATTTAAGTACATTAAAGTATATTAAAGTAATACACACGTACACACACACCCACACATTTATTGGGATTACTAGTGTAACCCGTGCCTACGGCCGGGACTTCACTATCGCAGCTGAAATCAAAAAGTATAAACCCGCCTATTATATTTGAAAACGCGAATTAAATTTTCGTAGTTAAACCGGTGCGAAAGTATGAAGTCACTTACTCCAAACAGACCGCAATTTTATTCTAATTTGCCCCTCACGTATCTAATAGTAATACTTGATAGGCAATCTTGAGGTCCACTGCCAAATTACCTAATTATATAGCAAATATGTTATCTTGTTGTGGAGAGAGAGCGAGAGCCAGAGTGAAGAGTACGTGAGAAACTTTAGTATCACATTTGGGTCACAAAATGATCAAATAGGCCACTTACCAACGACAATTTATAAATCCTTAATCATTATTCATTGGCTTCGTCAGAGTTTTTTCGAAACTATACCGAAAAAAAACAGTCCCATAACTGTTACTGTTTTCTTAATTAAGGAAATTTCTCACGAAGTACGAACCCACACACTTTTTGGGATTATTAGTATAGATTAGTACAGATGGGATGGACGTGCTTAAACCATGTGAACCCTGGCTCCATAGTACGAAGGAATCGTTCTAATTCTTAATGAAAAGTTCGAATGCACTTTACAGAACCTAGATTATTCTACGTTAACTTCGAGAAAAAGAAATCGCACGTGTGGCGCGCTATTTAATTTCTCACATTCAATGAATTGACATGAACAAGCGGCGGTCTTTAGAGTGATAACAATAAGCTTTCAGCAACTCTTAAACTACCGCGCGTTACAAAATAGGGACATTTTCTCAATTTCGACTTTGGCCCAAAACAGTCTGAAAACTGATGTGTTATACAAGTTATCAGTCCTGATATGCTACAAAGGCAAAACACAAAATACAAGGATATATCTTGCCATATTTAATAAATATCAGTTCATTTTCTTCTAATCTTACTGTAAGATTTGCCATATTTCGTGGTATGAATTTTAAAAAAGCAAAAGAAAAATGTAGGACCTAAAGATGTTTTGCAATTCTCCAATCATAGGAGTACAGAATAAAGTTCCAAATCACAGACACGTAAAAACGTGGTAGTCATTTATTTGGATTTGCTAACTTAAGAAACAAACAAAGAGTAAGTACCTTTCACTCATTTTCATGGGTTTGGCGATGTTGCATCTTATAGTACGCCCATATATCTCGCTCTCGTTCATGTTGTCTAACGCAGCGGCACAATCTTCAGCACTTTCAAACTCCACAAACCTAAATAGAGAAATATCTTCAGCACTCTCAAACTCCACAAACCTAAATAGAGAAATATCTTCTTTCAAACATAAAGAGATATTGTTCGGTGCTCGAGTTTGTTAACAGCACTTTATTGTTGAAATCAGTTTAAAAATACTAATTCTGTGTCATGTGCTTGGTAATGGATATAATTGAATGTTTCGCACAAGAATTAGCTTGTAGCTATTATTATTATATTAGATAATCCAGTTGATAAAAAGTTAAAAACTAAACCCAAAGCCTCGGTGTTGGTTAGTAGCGTAATCGATGGGAATATTCACATCCAACACATCCCCGAACACTACAAAAGCTGAATGTAGAACCTTCTCGTTAACTTCTTCAGCGAGCCCTCCTACGTACAGTATCTTCTTATTCGCCATGCTATATAGGGGTAACTAGGAATAACTAGGGGGTAACTAGGGTAACTATATAGATATACAGTGAGTCCTGATCACATAATACGAGCGGTAAAATGAGCCTTAGCTTATTATATTTTCAAACTTATCTATCAGAAGACTTTCACTGTCACACTTCGTTTCTAAATTGTAATTTCAATACCAAGAAAATGAGTAGGATTTTGTTTGTAATAGCGTCTCCATTTTCCAGAAACAAAAAATATAGAATTTACAGTTGAATTTGACAAAATATAGATTACTGAATAGAATTTGAAACTTTTTTGAACATTTAAAATATATTTTGGAACATTACAGTAATATAATCTTATTCAAATCTCAAACAGAAATAAATATTTTAAAGCTTTTTGTTTTGATTGTATGTTTGTGGGTGTATAGTGATTTTGATTGCATGATTTTGGAATTAAGCAGTAGTGGTGAATTGACCAGGAAATAAAATGGTCGATTACAGAAATGAGTGTTCTCGAAATCAATTTTTTGGGTTGGAATCGGTGCGCTGAACTTCCTGTGAGGTCATTTGGGTTGGCCGACACAAACCCCTGTTTTGGTGTTGACCCCCTTAACAGGGTTACATCTTGTCAAAGGCTTCAAATATAATAGACTGATGTTTGGCAAATCGAAGAATAGGAAAAAACGAGCAGCTGATATCATGTTCTGTGTGTTGCTATCCAAGACAATATGCTAAATAGTCACAATAAGGTATTTATATAGTCACAATAAGGTATTGAGAGTTTATACTATAATTTATACATTCGTCTCAGTAGTCAATATCCTCAAAAATAAGTTCATATTGGTACACGGACAGATAAACACTGAAAACTTGTAATTTCATTGAATAGTGAACACTGAATGACGCATTGATGTGTTCTTTTGAAAAATGTTTTGTATTGTCATGGTTGTCATGGATGCCCAAAGAGGGCTCCGACCGCATTATTCTGGAACGTGTGATAATGTGACATCTATTTGGATACAGCAAGGTAAGTAATAGCAGCAGTCAGAGCACCAGTAATAGCTAGCAGTGGTATAAAGGTAGACCTAGTAGGACTGTTAACTCTACTGGCAGGGTCCTCGTACCAGCGGCAGATGAACTGGTTCTGAACAGCTAGCACCTTACAGAACGCGCGCACTGTCCCCTCCGCATCAAACTCTTCAGAACCTGAAACACACAGTCGGTAATAATAAGAATTAGAAAGGGTCTCAAGTAAATTGGAGTCAGTTTATTGTAGTGTCTGCTTTGTTCACTCCAAAGTTTGTTCATATTAAGTTTCTTGCCTTCTTCACAAGAGTTCTTGTAGGTGAAGAGTGTGGAAATGAGTGCGTCCTGTAGATAAGCTAGTAGAGCCTGCATGTGAATAAGCTCCACGTTAATGGAGGTACTCCCTCCCTTGGGGGTGTGTATCCTACCCATACGGTCCAGCTCAGCTAGCATGTCTCCATCATAAGGCTTCGTAACCAACCTGGTAAAGTGGTAATATATTAGTGGGGCTTCTTCACTACATTAACCTCAGCAACCTGGTAACATGTTAGTGGGGCTTCTTCATTACATTAACCTCAGCAACCTGGTAACATATTAGTGGGGTTTCTTCATTACATTAACCTCAGCAACCTGGTAACATATTAGTGGGGCTTCTTCATTACATTAACCTCAGCAACCTGGTAACATATTAGTGGGGCTTTTTCACTACATTAACCTCAGCAACCTGGTAACATATTAGTGGGGTTTCTTCATTACATTAACCTCAGCAACCTGGTAACATGTTAGTGGGGCTTCTTCATTACATTAACCTCAGCAACCTGGTAACATATTAGTGAGGCTTCCTACATTAACCTCAGCAACCTGGTAACATATTAGTGGGGTTTCTTCATTACATTAACCTCAGCAACCTGGTAACATATTAGTGAGATTTTTCACTACATTAACCTCAGCAACCTGGTAACATATTAGTGAGGCTTCTTCACTACATTAACCTAAGCAACCTGGTAACATATTAGTGGGGCTTCTTCACTACATTAACCTCAGCAACCTGGTAACATATTAGTGGGGCTTCTTCACTACATTAACCTCAGCAACCTGGTAACATATTAGTGAGACTTCTTCACTACATTAACCTCAGCAACCTGGTAACATATTAGTGAGGCTTGTTCACTACATTCACCTCAGCAACCAATTTTGTCCCTGAGTTTACGTTTGGTTGAGCTCGACAGTTTGAAAAGACAGAGTTACAAGAAATATAGTGATTCGGTCAGCAAATATTTACCAAAACAGGACTGACCTTACAATGAATCTTTTAAGGGATGATTTCCTCATTCCTATCTGAGGCTTGTTCAAATCGTAGTTATCCAACGATTCTTCTGTGGACGGTGCATCGTACTTTGATCTCTCTTTAAAGAAAATCTGGGAATTTATCACGTCATTAAATAAGTACCAGAATCTGTACTGTACTGTACTGTACTGTACTGTACTGTACTGTACTGTACTGTACTGTACTGTACTGTACTGTACTGTACTGTACTGTACTGTACTGTACTGTACTGTACTGTACTGTACTGTACTGTACTGTACACAGACTACCACACCACACCACACCACACCACACCACACCACACCACACCACACCACACCACACCACACCACACCACACCACACCACACCACACCACACCACACCACACCACACCACACCACACCACACCACACCACACCACACCACACCACACCACACCACACCACAGCTACTATTATATATAATAATATATATACTATATACCTTCTTTGTAGAGCTAAAAGCGAATAGTTTGTCGTAAACAGCATCCACCAATCCTTCCACCTTAGGACCTAGCACAGCTGCTGAGCCTGAGTCAATTGTGGAGTAGATAGAAAGTGGGGAGGGGGAGGGGGAGGGGAGACGGGAGGGGAGGATAGGGGTAAGAGGGAGGGGAGAAAGAGGATGGAAGGGGGAGGGGGAGGGGGAGGGGGAGGGGGAGGGGGAGGGGGAGGGGGAGGGGGAGGGGGAGGGGGAGGGGGAGGGGGAGGGGGAGGGGGAGGGGGAGGGGGAGGGGGAGGGGGAGGGGGAGGGGGAGGGGGAGGGGGAGGGGGAGGGGGAGGGGGAGGGGGAGGGGGAGGGGGAGGGGGAGGGGGAGGGGGAGGGGGAGACGGGATGAAGAGGAGGGAGGGGGAGGAGGGAGGGGGAGGGGGAGGGGAAGGGGGAGGGGGAGGGGGAGGGGGAGGGGGAGACGGAATGAGAGGAGGGAGGGGGAGGAGGGAGGGGGAGACGGGAAGGGAGGATAGGGGGAGAGATAAGTTGTGAATGTGGAAGTTGTAAGATTCCTCGATTCTTACCATGTATGAGTGTGATATCCTCTTCAGTTATTCCAATAAAGTCACAAAGATATTGGTAGCGATATCCAAGGTCTGTGTACAGTTTATCTTCATCAATATGTTGAACCGGTATTGTCATTTTGATAACGCTCTGATTCTCTCACCTGTGTTAAATCAATACAGTGATAATGTAATAAAGTATTTAAGTTAGAGTGGTAGCGTAGTACAGTAATAGGTATGATAAATTAGTAGTAGAGTAATAGGTATGATAACTTAGTACATTTAATATTGGTACATTGATAAGGAGATGACTAAGTTAGCAGAGCGAACGATTACAGAAAATTTGAAGGTTGCCTAGAAACTAAAAACAAGTCACAATATAAAAATGAGCATAATATATGAACGAGCATAAACAGCAGACACGCTTCCTGACAAAGGTACCATGATGCCATGATGGACTGATGTATTAATCGTCGGCTATGAATTTCAAGGCAAATGTCTAGATTATGTTTTATTTCCGTTATTAACCAATGCAATGTACGCTCACATGCTCATTTATAGAAAAATACGTGCAATTTCAATTGTTTCTTTCGATAAATAGTAAGTATCGAACAAAAGTCAATTCGAAAGACGAAGCAAACCGTATTAAAATGGAACTACTCGGATGATTACAGCTGCTGTGTGTTTACACAGTGTTGAGAGGCCCATAGGAACGTTCTTTGTAACGCGTCACTTTTTAATGTTGGCTGTAGCAAGGCGTAGGAAGTAGATACAAATTTCAAACTTTCACAGTTACATTATATTCTTTAGATACAGCAGGGTGTCAGAATTATTGGCGTGTTCGAAATTTTATGTGTATTTTACGATGAAATCAATATTTTTCAACGGGTCATAACTTTACTTCTGAATATCGAAATTATTAGCAAAAAACGTTGCTAGAGACGTTGCTATATAGAGACATAATATGGATAAGAAGAATCAGAAAAGATTCGCAGGTATCAAATATCGCGGGAGTGTCGTACACGATACAAATTATTGTATAAGATGCCCAGAGAGGCATTATTGTAAATATTATCTTGTCTTATCTAATTACTTGACATGCACTAGATAAAGCTAATGATGGTGGATTAGATGAGCTGTATATTCGTTAGATCTCCTTATTAAAGTGTTCAATATACATGCTAATACGAATACTACTAATACAACACTACTACTACTACTACTAATAGACATGCTACAACTACTGCTACCACCACTACTACTACTACAGCTACAACTATAACTACTAATAGTACTACTGCTACTGCTACTGCTACTGCTACTGCTACCACCACCACCACCACCACCACCACCACCACCACCACCACCACCACCACTACTACTATACAAACTACATAATATCGCTGTAATAATAAATCATTCTAGAACATAAAATCTTATAATATTCAGTGTAAAATCTAACTTACAAAACCCTTGAACAAAAGATTACTCTAAAGTTTCGAAGAACATTCGTGAAATTAAAAACACTCAAAATAATGAAATCACAAATTCATGGGACCAGCTAAAGTTTCAGTGGTTTATTGTGTAACATTTTACATTACAACACCAATGGCAAAATCGACTAAGAGAAATGAGAATATTCTTGAATCATCCAGAAATTCGAGAATGAAATAAGCGTTCTAGAACGTAAAATCTTATAATAACCAGTATAAAATCTAATTTACAAAACCTAACAAAAGATTACTCTAGAGTTTCGAAGAACATTCGTGAAAAACGCACAAAATAAGTGTGCATTACAGGAGGGGGGTGACATGCCCCCCATTACAGAGAGAACGAAGAGGATAAACACACAGTCAAACATAAAACCATCTCAATTCTGTCTTATTGGAAGAAAGTATGCCTCAAGTAATGAAGCATGAATTCTAAACAAGCTATAAGTAACGATTAATTAAGACAAAGACCCTGGTCCATAGTCTTTTCCCGTTACGTACTGTCCCACCCATTCACCAGGGCTTCTTCAAATATTCTATGTTTCCCAGATTTGAGACGATCTATCATTGTCTCCTCTACTTTTAAGAGATCATGAAGAACGCTATCTTTTACATTGTTATCTGATTCCTCGAAGTGTAACTGAAAACTTTCGGAATGGAATAAACGGCTGAAAATGTACCTGCAAAACAACTGATCATGTAATTGTCAGTAGTAGTAGTGGCAACACAACTGAAGTTAGGGATATTCAAGCACACTAATTGAGGCAATGGTTAGAGTCAAACACATAAAGACATAAACATATTTAAAACACACAAACACATAAACACAAAAACATATAAACACACAAACATGTAAACACACAAACATATGAACACACGAAACAATGTGCAATCTGATCCAAAGGACAGTTTACAAATATGTTATTTTTAACAGGTAGTCGAGAGAAAGATTGCTAAGAGTCAAACGCTAGACAACAGCTCACTAGCAACTAACAGTAACTAGCAAGTAACAGTACCTACTACTAGGTAACCTAGGTAACAGTATACTCTAGTAGCAGGGTAACCTAGGTAACAGTATACTCTAGTTACTTATACTAGTAGCAGGGTAACCTAGGTAACAGTATACTCTAGTAGCAGGGTAAACCTAGGTAACAGTATACTCTAGTAGCAGGGTAACCTAGGTAACAGTATACTCTAGTTACTTATACTAGTAGCAGGGTAACCTAGGTAACAGTATACTCTAGTAGCAGGGTAACCTAGGTAACAGTATACTCTAGTTACTAGTAGCAGGGTAACCTAGGTAACAGTATACTCTAGTTACTTATACTAGTAGCAGGGTAACCTAGGTAACAGTATACTCTAGTAGCAGGGTAACCTAGGTAACAGTATACTCTAGTAGCAGGGTAACCTAGGTAACAGTATACTCTAGTTACTTATACTAGTAGCAGGGTAACCTAGGTAACAGTATACTCTAGTAGCAGGGTAACCTAGGTAACAGTATACTCTAGTAGCAGGGTAACCTAGGTAACAGTATACTCTAGTTACTTATACTAGTAGCAGGGTAACCTAGGTAACAGTATACTCTAGTAGCAGGGTAACCTAGGTAACAGTATACTCTAGTAGCAGGGTAACCTAGGTAACAGTATACTCTAGTAGCAGGGTAACCTAGGTAACAGTATACTCTAGTTACTAGTAGCAGGGAGGAACAGTACCTTGATCGTTGCATATGAAATGAGCTGGTCACCACAATTATATTTACTAGAGTGTTGGATTGCATAAGCCCTTGTACCATCTGGCGACCTGAGAGTGGACTCTATAATACATAGATACCAGCTGGGTAATATAGATAACAGCTAGGTAACCTAAATACCAGCTGTGTAACATAGATACCAGCTAGGTAACTTAAATACCAGCTAGGTAACATAAATACCAGCTAGAAAACATAGATACCAGCTAGGTAACATAGATACCAGCTAGGTAACATAGATACCAGCTAGGTAACATATATACCAGCTAGGTAACATAGATACCAGCTAGGTAACATAGATACCAGATCTAAGGTAACATAGATACCAGATCTAAGGTAACATAATTATAAATACCAGCTAGGTAACTTAAATACCAGCTAGGTAACATATATACCAGCTAGGTAACATAAATACCAGCTAGGTAACATAGATACCAGCTAGGTAACATAGTGCAGTAGTGTAGCACTACTGGATTCATGGTGTAGTAGTGTAGTGTAGTACTACTGAATAATGGTGTAGTAGTATAGTAGTGTAGTACTACTAAATAATGGTTTAGTACTGTAGTAGTGTAGTAGTGTAGTACTACTGAATAATGGTGTAGTAGTGTAGTAGTGTAGTACTACTGAATAATGAACCATAATAAAGATTCATGACCCCGACCTTTTGGCAGTTATAATTATAACAGAAGGTATTATTTTATTACATTTGATAGCGTTCTGAACAGTAGAGTTAGCTTCTTCTTCCAACATTATGTCATCGGAGAATTATATTCTGCTCTAAAAGTAGAGTCTTCATCGCTGCAGCTTCAGATTCCTTGTACCTGGTCAGAAAAATTAAAATGTGATAACTGTATATAATATTAATAATTGAATCTTACAATAATTCATCATTAAGAAGATAAACGGGGGGGGGGGGGGGGGCCAACCATATTAAAGTATATTAAAATGTAGGATTTTTCCCGATTTTGACCCGGGGATATACTTTAATATACTTTAATATACTTTAATATACTTTAATATACTTTAATATATCCCTATCTCCTTGGAGGCCTACATCAAAAATTGTTGCCCAAAATAAGCTTGAAATGCAATCCTTAATCGATTCCAAAAAGTTCTTGAAAAAATATTGAAAACTGATGGAGTTATTTCAATTTTAATGAAGTTATTTTTGGCTAGTGTTCTGAACCGAGATATTATGTGCAATTTTCCCAATTTTGTTCATGGAGGTCTTTTTAACTTAGTATCCACTATATCCAACAAACACTGAGTTATATCTTTCACATAGAGTTAGTCTCATTAAAAAAATATTGAAATTTTATCGAATTTGGGCAAAAGCGAATTTGGACAAAAGCGTATGCCCAAATATGGGCATATTTTTAAAAGCTCATAGCTCAGCCAATTTTTTGACCAATCTGGATGGGAAATTCATTGTACTAGTCCTAAACAGGCTTATCTTGCGAATCTGAGTAAAAAATATAGTTCATCATGTAAATCTTAACGAAGAATATAAATCTTCTAATTGTAGGTATATAAAGTATATTAAAATGTAGGATTTTTCCGATTTTGACCCGGGGATATACTTTAATATACTTTAATATGGTTGGCCCCCCCCCCCCCCCCCCCCCCATAAACAATAATGTGTACCTATTCCTTGATATCCTGTAGGTACAATAACTCTACGTCCCAGGGGTATCATAATAAACTTGTGCTCCTTTTCTAACCCTTGCAACAAACGTCGCATCCTGTTCACCTGAATTGTTATGATGGTTTTATATCGTCGTTTTGAATTTTAAATTTAAATTGAAACAATATTTTAAAATTCCTTCAGACTGAAATATTTTAGGAATCTATCAATGATAATATGATATAATATCACTTTTATGAGATCTTGTATTGATGAAAGGATGATGAAGGTTTAACAAATAAACGTAGTGCTATTCAACAAGGGATAAACTTAACCACTTAGTGATATAGGAGGACATCCCAGTATTAAAATAACAGATAATGTACTAGATGTTCTAGTCTCTACTTCTGAAGGAATATCTCCAGTTGTACTTGGGAGTGACTTCATTTTCTTCGTTATAGGTCATTAACTAAAATAAAAGGAAGCAGGCTTCTGTTATTTTAGAGATATAATAATAGTATTATCACGTCATGCCTTTTTAAGAGGCAAAATGTGGAAAGGTTTCATGAGCACAGGGAATTATCACTTTATGACAACTTGCGTGGTTACAGAACATGAAACAAGCTCTGTTAAAAGCTACAATATTCGTATACTAGGTACCTACCTATTAGTAGTATAATAGTTTGCCTTCAATTAAGTAACATAATGTCAGTGTTTAATAGCCTCCCAATTGATTATAGTTCCTTTAAAATTAAACCATATTTGCGGCCCAAGCTCGGTGATATACTGTAAATTTTTTTTCATAAATTTTAAATGGGGAAATTTCGGATTCCCTGTAATCATTGCAGCTGAAGTTACATGGAAATAACAAAATTTTTGAGTGTTTCAATAAGTCTCCAATAAAAAAGAAATAAATAACGAAAAAATAAAAAACCCAAACAAAAACTTCAATAAATACAAACCCTTTCATCACAAATCCCTTTTGGGGGGTCACTTGGTACCTGATCCCCCCCCCCCCCCCCCCCCGTTAAAAACCGTCAACCACACCTGTCGGTGGGATCACTTGGTACCTGATCCCCCCCCCCCCCTGTTAAAAAACCCCGTCAACCAGCACCCTGTCGGGGGATCACTTGGTACCTGATCCCCCCCCCTTTTTACAACCAGCACCTGTCGGGATCACTTGGTACCTAAATCCCCCCCCCCCCGTTACAACCACACCTGTCGGGGGATCACTTGGGTACCTGATCCCCCCCCCCCCCCTGTTACAACCAGCACCTGTCGGGGGATCACTTGGTACCTGATCCCCCCCCCCCCCCTGTTACAACCACTAATCAGCACCTGTCGGGGGATCACTTGGTACCTGATCCCCCCCCCCTGTTACAACCAGCACCTGTCGGGCCGGGGGATCACTTGGTACCTGATCCCCCCCCCCCTGTTACAACCACTAATCAGCACCTGTCGGGGGATCACTTGGTACCTGATCCCCCCCCCCCTGTTACAACCAGCACAGTCAGGTCTGTATCTTTAAAGCTCAATTTAATTTGGAAACAAGATGACAGTAAAATTGATGTGCTGTTGACTGGCAATATAATGCAAGTTCTTTTCACCAACAAGATTAATTGCGTGAAAATAACTTCCTTTACGAGAAAACCTAAAAGTTAACATGAGAGTCAGTTTAAAGAGTAATTATCAGCGAGTTCATTGAGAGTCTGCCTGATATTGGACACATCATCTTGCAGTATTCCAGCTGTAAGGAGCTCCGGACTTTCACTCACTTTAACAGAAGTTGATAAAACCTGAACAAGTTACTAATTATAATGGCACTAATCACTATCATAAGTAGTGTTACTTACTTATGGTCGCTTTTTAAACTCTGAAGAAATATTTATAATATATATTTATATTTAGGAATTATAAATAAATCCGAAATCTTTTATCTTACAATCGAAGATGGGCTTTGCAATGATTATAGCACTCTGTAAATACAGTTTACCTGAGCGATAAGCTGTAGAGGCTCCTGATTGTTTTGAAGTAGAGATACTACAGGAATTTCCTTGACTGGCTGAGATCTGACTTTCTGGTGTGGTGCTCGCAAGCGTCCTAGTGCAATTCAGAGACGATTAAATCATGAGCAACAACACGAATAATACAATTTAAGAGTTAGATGAAAATCATCTTAAAATACTACCAGATGAAACAATAAACCTACCCACCCCCCCCCCCCCCAACCTAGTTACTTAGGTTACCTACCCTCCGGCCTCCCCAACATAGTTACTAAGGTTACCTACCCTCCCCCAACCTAGTTACTAAGGTTACCTACCCTCCCCCAACCTAGTTACTTAGGTTACCTACCCTCCCTCCCCCAACCTAGTTACCTACCCTCCCTCCCCCAACCTAGTTACTAAGGTTACCTACCCTCACCCCCAACCTAGCTACTAAGGTTACCTACCCTCCCCCAACCTAGTTACTAAGGTTACCTACCCTCCCCCAACCTAGTTACTTAGGTTACCTACCCTCCCTCCCCCAACCTAGTTACCTACCCTCCCTCCCCCAACCTAGTTACTAAGGTTACCTACCCTCACCCCCAACCTAGCTACTAAGGTTACCTACCCTCCCCCAACATAGTTACTAAGGTTACCTACCCTCCCCCAACCTAGTTACTAAGGTTACCTACCCTCCCTCCTCCAACCTAGTTACTAAGGTTACCTACCCTCCCCCAACCTAGTGACTAAGGTTACCTACCATTGGAAAGGATTTTATCGTTAAAGAACTGTGGATAGTAAGCGTGTAGCGGTAGAGATTGTGGTGTGTAACAGTAGCGAGTAGTGCTTCCGAACACTTGCTCAGTGGAGGTCAGCTGGGAGAGGGTAGAGAAGAATGTGTGGGTATTTGGAATACCGGACACTCCACAGCTAGACATATAGGTATAGTGGAGTGGCAGGGACATCTGGGAGAGTGTTATCAGAATTTTTTAAGTGAACTTTGTCAGTTTTGTAAAAAAAAGAATAAACGTTCTTTAAATAATAAACTAATTTCTCAACACATCTCCCAACATACCTGCTTACAGAACAATGAGAGAGGTGTAATGTTCTTAGCTAAGAATTGTGAACTGAACAACGTTGATAAACCTCTATCATCTGGATCATCAAATGGGACACCTTTAATGACGTTAAGATTAGTAGCTTTAAATAAAGGACTTAAATAAATTATAGGATGTTAAAAGGAAAGGATGATTTAAAAAATTAAAAAATTGAACTTTAAAAGTGGTCCTATTTATCCTAAGCTGCATTTATTTGATTGGAAATTTGAGTAACTATTTGAGTAACTAACTAACCTAAATTTGATGTGAAGATATTCCTTGAGAGAGGTGATAAGAAAGTAGTTAAATCCTTGAATTCGGTGCCCTTTTGAGGAATTCGTAGCACTTGTTGAAAGAATAAAGACAAAACAGCACTAGTGTGATAGTCAGTGTCTTGACAAAGTAATCCTCTAAAAACATCTGCAATTGAAGTTAATTATCAAATTTGCACGCCAGTCAAACTAGTCAGCTAGTAGCTATATAAGGCATATCATAACATTTCTTTAAATAAGGACAACATTACTACCTTTAAAGCTGCACCAATTCAGAAATGAGCAAACAGATCCCTTCGTCACAGCTTCAAGTTCAAAAATGCTTGGCTTTTCTGCTCCAACTCCAAAGTTCATTTTAGGTTTTCTGCCAAATGCATCATCAAGAAGAGGTAGTAACCCTGCAAGAAGACCAGAATACCCTGTGTTTGCATCATAGATGCTGACAAATCCCTGGATGGTAGAGGTTTCACCAGTAAAATAAGGATTATTGAGATTTTTGGAGATTCAATTTTAAACAGGCCACAAATTACTGCCAATGAACAAAAATTTACTTTCAATACAATTTTGACTCACACTGAATATGTCACTTTTTTCTATTTGATAGCGAATTCTGTCTTCAAAGATTTCACCCAGATCACTTTCAGCAAAGAAGTTCAATCCACTGTGAAAGCTTTCAAAATAGTTGCAATACTGAAGTTCAATCACTTTTTTATCAGATTTTCCAGATATTCGACTCCAATGATGATCAGGATTTGGTGAATAAGGATTAACATCTTTCAGTTGTTCTTCACCAGAATCAATTTTTGTCACTTTTCCATCCCAAAGTACACTATCTTCATTTAACTGCAAGAATATACAGGATAACAGTCATAATGTGATCCAAACTGTTTAAATGAGCTATTTCCACAACAACAATTATTGTTACAGAAGGAATTGATGTAGTCTGAGGAGTCCTAACTCTCCTTGACAGTGGCGTAACGAGGGACCCCGCTGTGTGGGGGGTGCCATCTTAGGGGGGCGCCAAATAGTTGTTTGAATGTGGGACAATTTAAAAAAACTTAACTAGCAAAACTGTGCGTTTTGCTGATAGAAACACACTTTCTCAGAGATTTTACCAGCGTATCTTCTAAAATCACCTAATTTTTGAAATTTTACGTTTCCCTAAGAGGGAGGGGGCGCAAAACAGGGGGGCGCTTTTACGGCGGGGGCGCCAACAGGCAACATTGCACCACTGCTGGTGTTTCTCTTGTCTCATATTATACACTAATAAAGGTTTCTAGTATGTTACTGTCAATGGGGGTGATGCAACGTCAATTAATGTCAATTAATGTCAATTAATGTCAATTAATGTCAATGTCAGTTTTGCAAAATTTTGGAATACTGACATTAATTGACACGATATTTTTCGACCAGAGATTATGTAGTTCTACCATATTTTTAGCACTTTAGAACGTTTATATCATCAATTTATTCACTACTATCACATATGGAAATGTGAAATGTGAAAAAAATTCAGATCATTAAATAATAAAACTAAAATAATACGGTTTTCCGAAATTAAATTTTCTTAAATGGACGTGGCCATCCAAGGGCGTGGTTCTCAACATCATCAGAACTTAAAACCCACATTAAACGAAATGCCTTCATGACATTTATATTTGAATAACGAATCTTAAACAGCTAACATTACTCCTTCATACTAAAAAAGCCGATTCTAGATATTTTACCTGTATAAGAAACCAATAAAATATGGGCGTGGCCGGTGGGGACCGAAGATGGAAGAGTTGGAAGCTGAAATTTTTTTTGGTGGTCTTTGAACCTAAGAATCAACAGATAAGAACATACTCATAATTATTCAAGGACATTTTGTTTTTTTGAACCGGTCTAACTTACATAGACGTGAATATCTTGAATATTTATCGAATAATGATAATCTCAAATTTCAAGACAAATTAATGTCAATTAATGTCAATTAATGTCAATGTCAGTTTGGGGTTTTTATGGAATACTGACATTAATTGACGTTGCATCACCCCCCTGTCAATCATGAGTTTAATACAGGGGGGGGGGCAAAAGTCAGTACCCATACGTTGGCCTTAATAGCTCAGTCACTGAGAGAACTAGGCAGAAACAAAGTGTGAAGGGCCTGAACGGAATACTTCAATATTATAGTAAACATTAACCAGTGTACCAAAAGCTGGTCCCCAAACAAACATATGTCCAGCACAGATGTATCTGCCTAAATAACCTGGGAATGGCTAAAAATTTATACCTGTGTTTGACTGCATGTTCTGGTGATATCTTTTTGAAAGTCTACAAACAGAGACAACTTGTCAAAGTCTTCATTGTAAAAGCTGCCACAAAAGCTGCTTTTTGGACCAAGAAAGATGTTGCATAAATCTCCACTTTCACCTTTAGCCATAGCTAACGAAATTTATCAAAATATAAATGCATGACATAAATACAGTAAGTTGTTCATATTTCTCATAGACTATCAGGAGAATAATAATAGGGTAAAGTCTAAAGAATCGTTTCACAATAATTATGATCAATGTCGTGAAATATATATTCAATTAATTTTTGTAACTGTGTGTCCACTCTCAGCTTTGTCTCTAGAGAGTTCAGGGTTAAATAATATTTACCCATAAGCAAAGAATTTTAAAAAGGTTATTCAAACAATATATACATTCAATCCAATCAAGTGATGCAATTGGCAGAGCACAATAAACAATGTAAACAAACAAGCAATGGTCAATGTCCACCCTAAACAATGTAATAAATTAAATAAATTAAAATCATACTGACCAACAGAGAAAATTAGAATTAGATTTAGAATTAGAAAAATAACTTGGAGGGGCATACATTTTGACCTAAAAGAAGGGCATTTTGAGGGCCTCTAGCCCTAAATGAAGCTTCGTCTGTGGCGGCTTTGTCCCTTTGGGTCATAGAATTTACATTTTTAGTCAGCTACTTTCATGTATACCACTGCATAATTAGCTCCCCCTCTTCCTACACCCCTGTGACCCATAATAACTCAATATGTAATTAGATAACTAAAATAGCAGTGCCAATGGTTGGATTTTAAAATAATCCCAGTGCCACTGGCAAAAATGTTTGGGGAAATGGATTATAACCAAAGGCCATAATCTTTCGCTAGCTCTCCAATATCCACCATGAAGCTGCATTTTATATCCTTGAACTACACAATATAAACTAAAGTGTGTTTTAGTGTAGACTTTTTGTCACAACAAGACTGCAACCTGTCTACTAAAAAATTTCTTCTAGTCCTAATATGAGCCTTGTCTCTAAAAACCTAACTGAACTAGCGTTTCGGTGCGTGCAAAAGCTTTCAGGCATGCGCATTCCTTGCCCCACCTGTCCTTCCAAACCCAAACTAGCAGTCAAGGACAAAAAGTCATACACCAAATGGGCATTATATTTTATGAATTGTTTTACATCTTTTTATTCTGTAAAATGTGCTAAAATTAAATTTCTTGTTTCAAATTTCTTGTTTCAAATTATCTGATTTCAACAGTTTTACTTGCTTCAGAGGGATAAATAATGATGCTCCTCCAAAAGAGGGGCATTAGGCTGAACAGGGGGCATGGAGGGGTACTCCTCGAAAGAGGGGCATGTTGGTCACTCTGATTACAATAGTAAAATTTTGGGCTATGTGGCATTCTTACTGCTGAGTTTGCAGTCATGATAAGGAAAGAAACCACAGAATTTACTTCCCATCCACATCAACAAAGAGTCAGCTAAATCACAATGTTTGCATGTCCTACACGTGATAGGGTCTATATAGTTGGGGACCTGTTTCTTGGTATGCTTCTGAACACAGTTAATAAACTGCAGATACAGTTAATAAACTGCGGACTAAAATGCTATAAAGCAAAACAAAAGGCTCCAACCAAACATTCTACCTACTGATCCTAACCACCCTAACAACTCCCTATCTCTCTCTTGAACCCTCCTCCCCTCACTCCCACCGGATTCCACAAGCCCAAAGGTACTATACAGGGTGGGCCAAAAGTCAGTGGGCATGCGTTGGCCTTAATAGCTCGCCATGTTTTATATTTGAGAGCTTTGTATTATGGTTCATATCTCGGCCATCTGAGAAGCTACAACTCTAATTTTCAGGACAAACGTAATTCGAATGGCCAAACACAATTCAATAATTTTAGCTCGATCCGACTATCCAAATTATCAAATAAATGCAAAAATGAACCTTCATTTGCAAAAAAATGAACTCGAATATTTTTCGATTTGACAAATTCCTCGAACCAGTGGTGGTAGTAAGTAAGTCGTACCAGAAAGAACTATTTCAATTGGTTGCTCAGTGACTACTATTAAGGCCAACGTCTGCCCCAGTGGCGTAACGAAGGGCCCTGCTGACCCCGCTGTGCAGGGGGGCGCCGTCTTAGGGGGGCGCCAAATTGTCGTTTGAATGTGGGACAATTTCGAAAACTTAACTAAAGTACTAGCAAAACTGCGCGTTTTGCTCTAGATACACACTTTTTTAAAGATTTTACCGGCGTATCCTCTAAAATCACCTAATTTGTTCAATTTAGGGAGGGGCACCAAAAGGGGAGGGGGCGCCAACAGGGGGGCGCCTTTTCGGCAGGGGGGCGCCAACAGGCAACGTTACGCCACTGGTCTGCCCACTGACTTTTGGCCCACCCTGTAGATATGAGTTAGACGAAAAACAGAGAAGCCTTGATTGCCAGACCAAGGACTGCATCAGTAGCAGCGAAATACAGATATGCCTTCTCCCTTACAGTCAGCGAGCTGACAACAACCTGACTAGTGACTGTGTCTTTTAGGCATTACCAGGCCACCTTCGCTTTTGCATCTGCTCACCGGTATTCACTGACACATGCCACACCTGTGTTTAGTATGAAAATGAACCCACATTCACCCAAGATGCGGGATGTCTCAGATTATATTCAATAGATTATACAGCTTCTTTCATTCACAGAACTCCTTATATGAAAACCAGTACGGATTCCGTAAAAATCACTCGACCAGTTATGCCCTAAATTACTCAGTGAACCACGTAGAATCTTGCCTCAAGAAAAAACAACACGTTCTTGGAATATTTATTGATCTTAGTAAAGCCTTTGATACAATATCACATGAAAAGTTACTGCATAAGTTAGAAAATTATGGAATCCGTGGAAATGCAAATAACCTTATAGCAAGTTACCTGTCGAACAGATACCAGTATGTCTCGGTATTAGGTGAAGAATCCGAGAAACTTCCAGTAGTCTATGGAGTGCCGCAGGGGAGCTGTCTTGGTCCCTTACTTTTTATTATTTATATTAATGACATCCGTAACTCATCAATTATAGGAAAGTTTATACTATTTGCCGACGACACTAACATATTTATAGAAGACACATGTGTCAAAAGACTATACGAAAAAGGAAATGAAGTTCTATCATTTGTGTACAAGTATATGAAACTAAACTTATTACATATTAACATTAAGAAATGTTGTTTTATTCATTTTAAACCCTCACGGGCCAAAGAGGAAGTAGAAAATGACGAGAACATACTAACTTTAAATAATGTAGTTATTAAAAGAGTTCAAGAAGCTAAATTTCTAGGCGTTATTATTGACGACCAACTTAACTGGAAATCACATACGCAGTCACTTAACTCAAAACTTAAATGCGAAGTAGGAAAGCTGTGCAGAATACGACACATTGTCCCAAAGCAGTATTATAAGGATTTATATCATACTCTATTTGAATCACATTTAGGATTTGGAATATCTGTGTGGGGTGGTATTAGCAATAACCGACTTGAACCTATCTTTAAAACACAGAAAAAGTGTATAAGAATTCTGTTTGGGGATAGAGAAGCTTACCTAGAGAAGTTTAAAACGTGTGCCCGAACACGACCTGTTGATAAGCAAAGACTGGGGGTGGACTTTTACCAAAAAGAACACTCCAAGCCCTTGTTTAAAACCCACAGGTTGTTGACGATCCACAATCTGTACAAGTACACTTGTCTCTTAGAACTATTCAAAATTAATAAGTTAGAGGAACCATTATCACTGTACTCATCATTTAACAGGTCACCACGACGAGAGGATTATTTCATTACATCACAACCATCCTCACAATTCATCTACCAATCATCCTACATGTGGAACAGCTGTCGACAAACATCAAGTAAGATAAGTTTTAATACTCCGACAAACGGGTTTAAGAATATATTGAAAATTGCCTTACGAGAATTGCAATTCAAGCATGATACACTTGATTGGTGTGAGCTTAATTTTGCCACAAATGAGCTCAAGTTCTGATTTATGTGAGTTACTAAAATGACCATATATCTTTTCTCTTACATATAACCACTGCACTCCAACCAAAAACATTACTTACACCATACTCCACAAATGATATATATATATATATATACACAAACACACTAGTACCGAGCAATCGCACTTGATTAGTCACGAACAATAGAATCATTATAAATCAATACAATAAAACATCTTGATCAATAAATGCCTAGCAGCACCAGACAGCAGCCGTGTACCTTTTTCGACTCCACGGAGTCCCTGATGGACTTTTGTTTACTTTTGTTAATAATTTGACCGCAACCTTTCTTTCTCGAAACACAAATCCTACTGTACTTCATTACAGTATTAAGATAATATAATATAAAGCAAATCATGTGAATATATGACTACGAAATAGATCTATAGACTTGTCCATAATATTTAATACCGTATTGATGGTTTTGAATTTTGTATATTGAATTTTAATGTGAAGCGTTTACTTTTCCCCCTCGGCAATTAATTAGAAAGTTAGATTAATGACAATAATTGCCAAATGACGTAGTAGATATAGATGTTCAATGTTGTAGAGTGATTTCAAGAGTATAGTGTATGTACTAAGAGCATCAACTTGCGGGTGAACATTTTATGTCTCAAAACCCAACATATTATACATCATTGGAAAGGTCTCATTGAGTAGAGTCATATGGTACCAAGTTTTGGGCAAATGGCTGTTCCTAGCGAAAGTTATAGCCCGTCAAAGTTCCAAAAATGACCATTTAAAAAATGGGGCGGGGCATCGTGTTCTTAAAGTTTTTGACGAATTTTTTTACAGCATATTGTTTATCACATTTTTTTACACAAGATTTGCTGTATGCCGTAATTTTATTTTTTGATATTTTAATCAAAAATAATTTTTATTTGGATTTAAAAGTACGCGCTACGCCGCGCAGTTAGAAATCGCAATAAGGAGATTTAACCAAATTTTTTGTTGCGCAATTTTTTTTCTCATATCAAATTTACATGCTCATGTCGCATTTTCGGTTGCATCAAATTCAGCTGACGTCCACAACATGAAGTTTAAATGATCACACTGTGAAATTGGTTTGAAAGTATAATGCAAATATTCTTAGTCCTGTA